AGCACAGCCTGCCTTGGACTGCAGGGCTTTCTTTGGGTGTGTGGGTTTGTGTCCCTGTGTGCTGTGCTGCTCGTGGCACTTGGGACTGCAAAGCTTTCTTTGGGTTTGTGTCCCTGTGTCCCTGTGTGCTGTGCTGCTCGTGGCACTTGGGACTGCAAAGCTTTCTTTGGGTTTGTGGGTTTGTGTCCCTGTGTCCCTGTGCTGCTCATGGCACTTGGGTCTGCAAGGCTTTCTTTGGGTTTCTGTCCCTGTGTCCCTGTGTGCTGTGCTGCTCATGGCACTTGGGACTGCAAAGCTTTCTTTGGGTTTGTGGCTCTGTGTCCCTGTGTGCTGTGCTGCTCATGGCACTTGGGACTGCAAAGCTTTCTTTGGGTGTGTGGGTTTGTGTCCCTGTGCTGCTCATGGCACCTTGTGGGATGGAGTTCATGGCTCTCTGGGAAGGCAGCTGGAGAGGGGCCAGTGGCCTTCAGCAAACAGCTTGAACCTCCTGTGATTTCCCTGCAGCCCACAAGGCATTTCCCAGCCCAGGGAGGGGTGGTGGCCCTGCCATGCTGGGTGCTGTCACTGTCACAAGGTGTGGGAATGCTTCAGACCTGCCTGGCAGTAAGGAAAGCAGCTGCTCCACTGCTCTGTCCTTCAGAAATGGTGTTTCCTCCTGGACCAGACCCTAGGAAGGGGCACTGACCTGTTCCTGGGATAACACCTGCCAGTGGGAGCTGTTCCTGGGAGGAGCAGCTCCATCCCTGCTCTTTGCTGTGGGTCCTCCCCTCTGGGACCTGCCTGTTCTCAGTGAGAGCCCATCCAGTGGTGGAAATGCTTCTTGTGCAGGGTTTGGGCTCAGGCTGCCCAGGGAAAGAGCTGCAGCTGGTTGAGTCAGTGCCTGCATTTTCCTAAGCAAATTGGAGCTGGGATGAATTTGCCTGGAGAGTTCTGGGCTTTGCTGAAAATGACACTCCAGCTTTACATGCAGTGAATTCAAAACCATGTTCAACTTTCAAGTGCTCATGCTGGCTAAACTTTTCCTCTTTTAAATGTGCATGAAGCTGCTTCAAAGCAGGAGCTTTGCTGCTCCAGGGAAGAGCTCTTGGACATGGGATCCTGCATGAATTCCCCAGCCACTGGCAGGCTTTGTTTGACCTGTCCCTGAAGGTGGCTTCCAAGGGAGAGATCCCTCAGTTGGAGGATGGAATAACCTTGTGCTGCCAGCTGGAGCCAAGGAGGGTTTGCTCCTTGGGAGCTCAGTTTGGCATGGCCCATGGCTGGGGCTGAGTTTGTGATTCTGCCAGCCTGGAATGAAGGAGGTGAAATCATTTAGCAGAGCTGCCACTGACTGAGGTGAGGCTGGTCTCGGCCCAGGGCTTTAGTTGTTTAATTTATGGCAACAGATTGAGTTGTATTAAAACAAGGTTTAGAAAAAGTCAAGCTTTAGCTTTGTGCTTCCATCCCCATTCCATAAATACTGGACATGGTGTTACTCAGACTTTACCTTTTTTGGGCAGGTTGATAGAGGTAGAAGATTTTAATTTATTTTTGTAATCCGTGTGTTTGCACTCCTGGGAAAGAAGCAAAGTATGCAGATGTCATTATTCCTGTAAATGCAAAGGACTTTATCCTAAATCTTCTAATTCTTTCATAGTATGTGGCAGCAGAGCTATTTGCCACGATGCTGCAGGAAATATTTGGCATTCCTGTAAGCTCCAGGGAGAGCAGGACTGGGATGATAACATCCTCTGGTGCTGCTTTTCAATGAGCTCTTGCACAAAGACTCTCTCTAAAATACCCCTCTGATAGATTTAGAGGGTTTTTAACACAAGGAATGTGTTTCAAGCTGCTGCCTTTCCTGTGCTTGTGCTGACTCCTCCAGCCCTGTGCTGCCCTTTTCCAGAGCTGACATCTGAGCTGTATTTATTGTAGCAGCCTCTCTGCACTGCATGTGTTACAGGAGATTTTCCTCCTCTAAAATGTAATAAACTTTCTTCTTGTGATTTGACAGAAAAGATTATTTCTCTAGCTTTACAGGCACAGCTAATAGTGCATTCCCAAGCTCTGCTGACAATAAGAACAAATTGAATTGTTTTAAAATGTAAATGTATATTTTGCTGTGCTTCTTACTTCTCTTACCTGCTGGAATGGTTTTAGCATTAGCATTTTTTAATACACATCCAGAAACAGGCAAAGCTGCTTTTATTATTGCTCATGGTCATGAATTATGTTAATATAAACACTGCAGTGAAAGGGAAATGAGAAATAAAGACTTGAGAAGCAAGAATTGGCACCTGATGGTTTGGGGCTTTTTTTCTGCTTATCAGCATTCACATTTGCCTTGTTTGTGGGGACTCTGGGCTGGGTGGAAATGGGATTTTTCATTAAGTCACAGGGTGTTGTTCCACCTGTCCACTTGTCCCAAAGTGCACCCAGTTTCAGGGTTTCATGGTGATGGTATCTTGGCAAAAAGGAAACCCAGTTATCCATTAGCCAATTCTCAGAGTAATCTCCTTTGCAACCAGCTTTTCAGGTAGCACCTTCCAGGCTTTTCCAGGCACTGAGCAAAGCCAGCCCAGCCAACAAGTCTGCAGGGAACTCCCCTGTCTCCCTGCAAGCTTTGGGGAATGGAGGGCAGAGCTCTCTTAGCTTCACATTCTCTGCTGTTTTCTGATTGTGAGGAAGAATGGAACCCAAGTGGTTTTAGCCTTACTGATGGAGCTGTTTCCAAGGAGCAGATGCCATCAGTGATCCAGGGACCCTTGGAATGGTTTTGGCCAGGAGCAGATGCCATCAGTGATCCAGGGACCCTTGGTTGGGTTTTAGCCAGGAGCTGATGCCATCAGTGATCCAGGGACCCTTGGATGGGTTTTAGCCAGGAGCTGATGCCATCAGTGATCCAGGGAGCCATGGATGGGTTTAGCCAGGAGCTGATGCCATCAATAATCCAGGGATCCTTGGTGAGGTTTTAGCCAGGAGCTGATGCCATCAGTGATCCAGGGAGCCTTGGTGAGGTTTTAGCCAGGAGCAGATGCCATCAATAATCCAGGGATCCTTGGTGAGGTTTTAGCCAGGAGCAGATGCCATCAGTGATCCAGGGACCCTTGATTGGGTTTTAGCCAGGAGCAGATGCCATCAGTGATCCAGGGACCCTTGGAATGGTTTTGGCCAGGAGCAGATGCCATCAATAATCCAGGGACCCTTGGTTTGGTTTAGGCAGGAGCAGATGCCATCAGTGATCCAGGGACCCTTGATTGGGTTTTAGCCAGGAGCAGATGCCATCAGTGATCCAGGGACCCTTGGAATGATTTTGGCCAGGAGCAGATGCCATCAATAATCCAGGGACCCTTGGTTTGGTTTAGGCAGGAGCAGATGCCATCAGTGATCCAGGGACCCTTGGCTGGGTTCCCCCTCTGGAGCTGAGGCCACAGCTGGGGCCCTGGGGCTCTGCACTGTCCCACAGCCCATCTGCAGGGCCATTCTGCCCGGGGTTTTCCTGCCAAACCTGGGCTTGCTGCTGCTCTCTCAGGTCAAACAGAAGCTGTTCCACCTGGAGCTCCTGTGAGGAGTCCCAGGAGCTCCAGTGAATGAGGGTTCCTGCTCCATGCTGCCATCCTTCAGCTGAGGGTCCCCTCTCTTAGGGCCATTCCCTGTGGGGTTTCTGGGATTTTAGAGTTTTGGAAGGTGAGGAGCAATGAGAGTGTTTGAGTCTTGAAAATCTGGGCCAGTGTCAATATCCCTCCTGTATCTGCAGAATTAAAATCCCAGGTGCTCTCGCAGGGTGAGGACAGGGATGCTCCTCAGCTCTTATCTGATCAACAAGTGCAGCTCTGGAGGTGCTGAATCCCTAAGCAAGTGCAGATTAGCTAGAAACCGGGGTGTATGATGAAAAAGGCTGCACAAGAATGTGCCTAAATTCCCCTGCTAAATGAACATTTCCATTATAAGTAGCTTAGAGGAGAAATAAGTGGGCAGGGAAAATGTGTGCTTGTCATTCTCACAAAGGAGCTGGCTTCCAAACTGTTAATTTTTGAACAACTGTTGAATGGCAGGAGTGCTTCCACTCTTTCCATGCAAATCCCCATCATAAATCCCTTTTTAGCTTCCCACACTTCAGAGCTGCTCAGGGCAGTCTCTGTCTCCCTGGAAATCTTCCTGCAGTGCCTTGCACTGCTTGAGCCCTGCCTAAGGCAGCCCTGAATCCCTCTGGGCCTGTGTTTGTCTGAAGATCAGACCTAGGTTAGGGGAAAAACCCCAAACTGGCATTTTTAGAGCTGCAGTAACCTCATTTGTGATTGCAGGGACATGAACCTGGTCACATTTCCTGCTTTGAATATCTCCTGTAAACTCTCCATAAATTCTGTCTAAACATGCTCTGCTTTAAATCCCCTCTGGCTTAAGAATGAAATGCGCATTTGCTATCTTTATTGATCTGTGAACTCTGCACTGATAAACTCATTTCTTCATGCTTTCATGTAGCCCTGTGACCTTAAATATATTTTTAACCTAGCAGAGACTCTGAAGTGAGCAGTGGAAAGAAAAGAATCTCTTGTTTAAGGTGTGTTTTACTGCACTCTGCTTCTGGCTCCTAAAGCTGCTGAGTGTTTCCCTTAACTTGGCAATTCCATAACCAAACCCTGGGGTATTAAAATGGTGCTAAGTGTAAAAGTGTGTGTGTATATGTCACAATTTAAAAATACAAATGTATCTGCACCCTGAAAAACTCTGTCTGCAGTGATCCAGGCAGGGCACAAGTGTTTTGTGTCCAAGGGCTTCAGGCACAAAGCCAAAAGCTCTTAATCAAACTGATGTCACACCTTGTATCAGCACCTTAGAGCTCAGGAGATGGTGAAGGAGGGATTTTAAACAAATACCCTGTGGTTCCCTGCAGCATCCCTGCTTTTGGCTTTTGCTCTGTGCACAGCCAGAGCCACCCATGGGACAGGTGAGGGGCTGTAAACAAAGGATTCCTGCTGCTGAAGGTGCATTTTGAAGGAAATGTCTGCCCTGTTTTGCAGAGGTGAATCTGGTGCTGGGAAGACGGAGAACACCAAGAAGGTCATTCAGTACCTTGCTCATGTTGCTTCCTCCCATAAAGGAAGAAAGGACCATAATATTCCTGTAAGTTGGGGTATTTTCTCATTTCTTGGCTGCTCTTTTTGAAAATTACCATCTTTGCATTTGAAAAAATTACTTTTTTTTTATTAAACTGTAATATGATCTGTGTAATTTTGTTTCAACCATTATTTTCTCTTTAGCAGTGGCTGAAATGAGCAGTTACATCAAAATTTCTAGTCCATGTCAGCTGTCTAATTTCTGTTTTGAAATTAAAGGCTTTATACAAATAAAAGCAAAGCTTTCTGATGCAATAAACCCCATTTTCCAAAAAGATTCAATAAACCCAGGCAATTCTAACTGAATTTAGTTCCCAGTAGATGCAGTTTTTGGTATTATATTTGTGAACAAGCTTTCTGTGCTTTCAGAAATTAACTTGTAGATAGGAAAAATCATCCAGCTTAAAAACTGCTCTAGAGTTGCTATATCTAGGAGCCAGCATCTAATTAAAAGCTCAGATTTTATTACACTATAAACAAGTGAGTATGTACTTTTATATAGAGAATATTGGCTTTTTTGGTAGCTTGAAACCAGCTCTGGTTTATGTAGAACTTTCTTCAGATTTCCTGCCAGGCTTCAACATTTGCAGTGAATTTTGAGTGATTCTTTGCTTTTAAAATCCAGGAATAGGTTTGAATATTCATTGTTAGGGGTACTTGGATACGTTTGCAGTGAAGTTTTAATTGAGCTTTGCACAAATGGTTTTCCAGTAGTAATCCTGGTGTCTGTGGTGGCTGGAACCTTCAAAGTGCATTAATTTATGGAATTATAGAGTTGGAGGCTTACAGAATTACAGCCAAGACCTCTGAGATCAGCCCAGCCTTTGCCCAGCACCCCATTCCCACTGAAGCATCCTTGGAGTGTCACTTGCACTCATGTGGTGACTCTGGTGACACTGGGACATCATCCAGCACGAGGGATTTTCTGGGAGGTTTGCAGCTGTGCATGTTCTTGGCTTTGCCACTGTGCAGCCCTGGACAAACCCAAAAAATTGTTTTTTCAATTTCTACAGAAGCAAAATTGCCAGCAGGCTTTTGGAGAGAAGGGAATTGTGCAGGGCTTGCACCAAGTATTTCTAAATATACTGGTGACAGCTTGGAACACCTCAGACACTTCTGGAAGCCTCTTGTCCTTTTAAAATGTGCCTCCCTTCAAAGTGAGATTGCATTGCCCAATCCCCACAAAAGCTGAGTTTTCAAAATCTTGAGGGATGGAGATGATGCAACTTCTCAGGGAGCCTGTGAAGGCACAGGGAAGAAAGGGGAAAGCTGGGATGTGAACAAAAAGAACAGGGAGTGTCCTGAATAAAAGTCTGGGACTGTGCCCTTTATTCAGTGCAGTACCACAGTGGGCACTGGATTTGCCATGTGTCCATGAAAAATGCAGAGTGTTTGTCACCAAACTAATTTTGAAAATACAGATGAGTCTCCCTTGTTGTGCAGCCATTAGTTTGTGTTTATATATTGGCAACAAAGAATGTCCAACCCTCACAGGTGCCACAGGGAAGGTAGGAAGGGTGGGAATGGGGAACAGAAGCAGCCCTAATTTAGCCTATTTGCATATTCATTAGAAAGCTGTAGAGGGCTGGTGGTGATCCACAGTGTGTGCAACCTGTGCATTGCCCTGTGCACAAGAAGATGCTAAATAGGCTTGTTAAATCAATCCATGGCTTGCAGTCTGTCTGCAGCCATCCTGTTGCAGATGGTTATCAGTGCCATGTGTGTTTCTGAGCCTCTTTGAATGCCTCATTGATTACTTTTTTAAACAAAGCAATTTGCATGCTGAGCCTAGGGTTAAGTGTGATTTGCCTGACCTAGTGCTGTAAAAAGAGAGCAAAGCAGAGGAGCCCCAGTGACACCTCAGAGCATACAGGGGCTCACCAGGTGCCTCCTCCAGCTGGGATGGAGGGACATGTTCAGCTTTTGTGAGAGCTCTGCCCAATGGCTGCCACCCAGCTGCTTCTCCAGGAGGCTTTTCTGCCCCCAAACCCCTCTTTCCTTAGGGCTGACAGAGTCCTGCACAGCCCTGAGCACACAGGTTTGGGAATGGGGTCAGTGACACAGGGCTGGAGTGAGTTACAGCCTGAATTTCAGTCAGGATTCCTGGGTTGTGAGTGTGGGAATCTCATTGCCTGGCTGATCCAAGGTGGTGTCCTGGGCACTGCACTCAAAGTGTGGGGAGGAGGAGAGGTGGCAGAGGAACCTCAGTACCTGTGGGGTCTGGCAGGACCAGCTGAGGCTGCAGCAGCCCTAGAAGTGGGAATGGAGGCTGGGGAGGGAGAGCTGCTGGGCAGGGCTGGAGCAGGAGCTGCTCTGAGGGCTGGAGGTAAGGCAGGGTGTCCATCTCCATCAGGGGAAACCTTCACATGGAGTGCAGATCACAGAATCCCAGAATGGGTTGGGTTGGAGGGGATGCTAAAGATTATCCAGTGCCACCCGTGCCATGGCAGGGACACCTTCCCCTGTCCCAGGGACACCTTCCCCTGCCCCAGGGACACCTTCCTCTGTCCAGCCTGGCCTTGGGCACTGCCAGGGATCCAGGGGCAGCCCCAGCTGCTCTGGGCAACCTTCAACCTTCACAATTCCCAGTTCCCAATCTCCCATCCAGCCCTGCCCTCTGTCACTGAAGCCATTCCCTGTGTCCTGTCCCTCCATGCCTTGTCCCCAGTCCCTCCCCAGCCCCTTTAGGCCCTGGAAGGGGCTTTAAGCTTTCCCCAAAGTGTTCTCAGCCCAAACTGCCTCTGTTTTCACTAGACCCAGTTCTCATGTTGGAGCTATTTTAGACTTCAGAACTCATTGCTGGTACTTTCAGATTCATGATTGCTTTCAGTGGCTGCCTTTGCCTTGGTAGCTGAAATGCTAAATTGCTTAATTTGTTTTATTAATTTCTAAAGAAACAGAATTAGTTTTTGAAGGACAGGACCTCAGGCAGGCTCACTCAGGCTAAAGCTCCCCTGGGTTTCCCAAGGGGGCTTTAACTGCCCTCATTTAAACACTGAGAAGTTCAATCTGTGCCTGGTGGTGCTCAGTGGTGTCTCTGGTAGGGCAAGAATGGACACCCAGGAGTGCAGTTCATCTTTTGTAAATACAAACAATTGAAACTCCTCTGAATCCTGAAGTGTTCCTGTCCTGCCCCATGATTGCAGGAGGGGTGGGTCTCTCCTTGGCAATTTGAAAATTCACTTCACCCACCTGAGCAAGCCAGACCTCTGCCAGCTGCCTGACAGCCCTCTGTCCATATCATCCTGCACTGATATAAAATAAGAGTCACAGACAGAGGGAGTACATTTGGCTGATATAAAATCTCACATTGTGTGTGTTTCTCCACAATACTTTGCCTCAGGCTCTCAGATATGAAGCTTAAGATTATTAAACTCCCAGGCTGAGCCAAGGAAGAGAGAATGAAATTGAAGATTCCTTCTGAAGCTGTGCAGATTTGAATTTTGAAGGGTTTTTGTTTTACTTTGTTACCTTCATGTTCCCTCTGTCCTTCTTGCTGGCCAAGTGTCCAGTGCAGGGTTGTGCTGCTGCTCGTGGCGCTGCTTGAAAGAAAGAAGCAAAGGTCTTGTCTCGAGGGTGGGTTTGCATTTTGAAATACTTGCAGTGCAAATCCAGCCCCCTGACTGCTTTGTGTGGCTCCCCTTGAGCTGTTCCACCCCTCTGGGAGTGCTCAAGGACAGTGATTGTGGTGTTGTGAGGTCCCCAGGACGAGGTGGGGATGAGAATCTGACTCCGTGTGCTCAGAAGGCTGATTTATTATTTTGTGATATGTTATATTCAAGAATGCTATACTAAAACTATACTAAACTGTATAGAAAGGAAACATCAGAAGGCTGAACAAGAATGACAATGAAAGTTTGTGACTGACTTCTCAAAGTCCGACACAGCTGGTGGTGATTGGTCATTAATTAAAAACAATTCACATGGAACCAATCACAGCTGCACCTGTTGGTAAACAACCTCCAGACCCCATTGCCAAACAATCAGATAATTATTGGTTTTGTTCTTTTCTGAGGCCTCTCAGCCTCCCAGGAGAAAGTCCTGGGCACAGAGGATTTTTCAGAGAATACCCTGGTGCCAGTGATCACCTCTGAGCCCAGCCACCCCCCAGTGCCCAGGGCTGGCCACAGAGGGACTCAGGCTGGGTTAATTTTGGAAGCAGTGCCCAAACAGGCAGCTCCTGCCTCTCCCTGGCTCTCAAGGGCCCTGTGCCATGCTGGCTTTCATTAACCCTTGCACAGACACGGGGTGCAGCACATGCCAGTAACCCTGCTCTGAAATCTGGGCAGTGTCTGTGGAACTCTCTGTGGAACTCTCTGTGAAGTGAGTGTGGTTAAAGGTGCTGACAGTGCTAATGTGGGATGTGACATGCAGCTGGAATGCCTGCTTGCTAACTTATCATTTGTTTGTTTGCAATGAACAGCCCGAATCTCCCAAACCCGTCAAACACCAGGCAAGTGGTTTTTTTTAATGCTTTTCAAGTTATGTAGGAGAACTGATGTATATTCTTCTCTTTGTGCTGATAATGTGGGAAACCTTGAAGGAACACACAGCTAGCAGAGAATTTTGGAAATACTTAACTGGCTTGGAGAGAGGGGAGAGTGAGCAGCTCATGGGTTTCTCAGCATTGCAAAGGATTTTAACCACTTTTATTACAAAGGATTTTAACACTTTCGAGCCCTGAAATGAAAGGTTTGCCCTCTCTCCAAATTACTTTGTGTATACTGGGTAGTGTGCTGCTGAGAGAGTGCAGAACACTTTTTAAATATTAAACAAAGCACTAAATAAAAGATTTGATTAATGGAAGCTACCAAATTCTTTTGATTAAGTGCTTTGTCTGAATCCTTTTATAGCTTTGCAAATCACCAGTGAAGACTTTGATCTCAAGTGTGAAAGGCCTGGCATAACCAAAAGCCTTGAGAAACGAAGGATTTCCCCAGACTTTCGAGGGCAGGTGGTGTGAGCAGAGTGGGATCTGAGTGACGTTTGCTCCCTTGAGCTCCAGCTGCTGTCAGTGCCCAGGCTGGCAGAGTGCTGGGCACATCCCTGCCCATGTGCTGGGCACATCCCTGCCCATGCCATGCTCCTGATCCCCTGCTCTGTCTGATCCCAGTTTCTGGGGAGAGAAGGAATTGCAGGGCTCCAGGTGGAGCTCAGCTGGAGGAGGCTCAGGTGGAGGCTGAGGGCAGGACTGTGGGGAGGGATAAACAATTGCTGCCACAGGAGAAATGCCCCGCTCTGACCTGAGCTGGTAAGTGATGCCTGTGAGCTTTTAAATAAAGCAAAGCTTTGTCCCAGCTCCCCAGGGTGTGACCAGCCATGGAAACTGAAGGGTTAATTCAGCTGGGTGAGTCCCCCTTGCATTTCTCTGGAGCTGATGAGTGCAGTGTAACTCCAGTGCAAAGGGAATAGTAGAGGAACCTTCAGGTGAGATCTGTTGGGGTCAGAGAGCAGTGCCTGGGCAGCTGTGGTGCCCTGGGAGTGTGTGGTGCAGTCAGACCCAGCTGTGGGGCTGTGCTCTCCTGTTCAGAAGCTGCAGACCTTCCCAGGGAGCAACTGAATCCTCCCTCCTTGCACACATCAGTCACTTCCAAGGGTTTTCACTCAAATCTTTGTCAAGTCCAAAAATAGACAGAGTGGTGTTTGAGGGTTGAGCCCTCCTCTTGCTTGGAGCTGGGTGCCAGGGTGGACATGAGACTTTTGTTGGTGAACATTTGAACTGTGGCTGTGGAAAATGCTAATCCCAGGCTGTTGATGCTGCATAAGGCATGGAATCATTACCATCTGTGTTTCAATGTCACTTGGAAGTGCAGAGTGGATCCCTGCTGTATGTGAGTAGCATGGAGCTTCCCTGCCTGCCCCAGGCCTCCCCAGAGCCAGACCCTGGGCTGCTGCTGCTTTCTCTGGAGCTGAGACAGTCCCTGGCCTTGTGTCCGTGGTGCTGCATGAGCCATTGCATGCCCTCACTTCTCCCACAGCTCCCATTCTGCTTTTTCCAAGGAGTTCTGGGGAGATGCTGTGCAGGGGCTGTGCCCCGAGGCCAGGCTGGAGTTCAGTGTCTGTGTGAAACCCTGAGCCCTCCCAGAGAGGGCTGGCTTTGGCTGAAAGCAGTGCCTGGAGAGAGGAAAGCCCCAGATCAGGAGCCTTTTGCCCCGTGAGGGCTGGGACAGGTCTGTGTGTGCAGCACTGAGCTCTGCTGGTTCCCGTGGTGCTCACCCTCAGCCCCTCAGGGTGATGGCAGCAAGGAGCAGCCAGAGCATTTATTTAATGGCTAAATGTGTTTATCCACATCCTCTGCTGCTTTGTCCCAGGTTTGTCCCAGGTTTGTCCCAGGTTTATCCCAGGTCTGTCCCAGGTTTGTCCCAGGTTTGTCCCAGCCTGCTGTGCCCTCCCATTGCTGGTGGCACACAGCCATGCCATGCAGCACCCACTGGGCACTCAGGGCATTTCTTTTCCAAAAGCTTGCAGAATTTGGACATGCCAGCTGTGCCACACTCCCTGCTTGGCTGGGCACACTGGGGTTTGTCCCAGGAGAGGAGCAGTGCTGAGGAAATGCTGCCCTGGACCTTGGTGTGCCCACAGCAGCTGGGAGAGGGGAGGGCATGTGGGAGCATTCCAGGCTCTGAGGCTTTTCCTTGGGGAATTTGGAGAATACAACAGCACAGAGTGGCTGTAACAGGCATCCAGTTTCTCTCCAGTTGCAGTTTTTTGTCAGTTTAAAAGTGCTTTTAGGCTGTCACCTTGGCAGCCCTGCCATGGCACTGCTGGCTCTGCTCTGGGCTGGGACTCACATTTATTCCCTCTGTATTTATTCCCTCTTTACCCACCCCAGCATTTAGGGAATGTGTTGTCCCAAAGGGAGCACATTTGGAAGTAAGCAACTTCTGAGCAGATAACTTGAGGTCACATAAAAGAAGGTGCAGCCATTTATTTCCAGGAGAGCTTGAAATATATTTCAATATACAAATCAAATCTTTTAGGTGTTAAGTAGTGAATTTTAAAAATTCCTGTCTAAGAATTGACCCTGCGTGGAAGCCTTAAGAGACTTAATGCTTCCTGTTCTTTGATGCTTGGTCTGGGCCTTTATTCACCAAGACTATAAATAATTGGAAAAAGCAGGTTCATGAACACAGATGTCAGATTGGAGACTACATTCCAGACAGCTTCACTTATTTTTTTTTTCCCCACACCATACTTCAGAGCAAGAAGACAATATATTTTCCTGTGTACATTTGTGCCTCCTGGGCTCTTGGAAGCAGCACAGACTTTTTTTGTTACCAGACCTCCTCATGGACAGAACTTGTAAAAGCTGTTGTGCAATTTCCTTGAGATAAGTACCTCAAATTCTAAACTCATTGGCCAGAGCTGACAGAAGCATTTAACAAATGCATTAAGCAGCCTGAGCAATGCTGGCTGGATTGAGCAATTGGAAAGCAGTGTTTGTAATTGGTGTTGCTCAGCTCTGGTGTGGCCAGGTCAGAGGTGATGCAATGAGATGAGTTTCAGTCTGGCTGACTGAAGGGGAGTTTCACTCACCTGAAAGTAGGTTTGAAAATAAGTATTTCTGAGTTTGGAAATAGGTGTTCTGAGATAGCTGTATTGCCAGCACAAAGTTTAAACCTAAAACCTTAAAGCAGTTAAGCACTCAAAGGTCTGTGCCTGATTTCATTAGCCCTAAATGTGAATTTTCTTTCCCATATTCAGTGACTTTCAACATCCATCAAGTCCTGTCTGGTCCCTGCTCTGTCTGTGTGTGTGTCTCTGTGTGTGTTTTGATAAACAAACACCACCCAAAATCCAGCCACGTTCACCCCTGGATGGAGGCAGCTGCAGGTTTGGGAGTGAGGGGAGGATGAGGATGCCCCTGTGGAGGTGGTGGCACTGCCACACCAGGGGAGGTGACTGCAGGAGAGGCAGAGCACCTGGGCCCTGGATAAATGCGTTGTGTTTGTGTCTCTGTGGTTTGCAGGGGGAGCTGGAGAGGCAGCTGCTGCAGGCCAACCCCATCCTGGAGTCCTTTGGCAACGCCAAGACCGTGAAGAACGACAACTCCTCCCGCTTTGTGAGTGCCCTGATCCCTGCAGAGCCTCCTGATCCCTGCAGAGCCTCCTGACCCCAGAGCCTGTGCCCTGATCCCTGCAGAGCCTGGGCACCTCATCCCAGAGCCTGTGCCCTGATCCCAGAGCTGTGCCCTGATCCCTGCAGAGCCTCCTGATCCCTGCAGAGCCTCCTGACCCCAGAGCCTGGGCACCTCATCCTTGCAGAGCCTGGGCACCTCATCCCTGCAGAGCCTGGGCACCTCATCCCTGCAGAGCCTGTGCCCTGATCCCAGAGCCTGTGCCCTGATCCCAGAGCTGTGCCCTGATCCCTGCAGAGCCTGTGCCCTGATCCCTGCAGAGCCTCCTGACCCCAGAGCCTGTGCCCTGATCCCTGCAGAGCCTGTGCCCTGATCCCAGAGCCTGTGCCCTGATCCCAGAGCCTGTGCCCTGATCCCTGCAGAGCCTCCTGATCCCAGAGCTGTGCCCCTGATCCCAGAGCCTTTACCCCGATCCCAGAGCTGTGCCCCTGATCCCAGAGCCTGGGCACCTGATCCCTGCAGAGCCTGGGCACCTGATCCCTGCAGAGCCTGGGCACCTGATCCCTGCAGAGCCTGTGCCCTGATCCCTGCAGAGCCTGGGCACCTGATCCCTGCAGAGCCTGTGCCCTGATCCCTGCAGAGCCTGGGCACCTGATCCCTGCAGAGCCTGGGCACCTCATCCCAGAGCCTGTGCCCTGATCCCAGAGCTGTGCCCTGATCCCTGCAGAGCCTCCTGACCCCAGAGCCTGTGCCCTGATCCCTGCAGAGCCTGTGCCCTGATCCCAGAGCCTGTGCCCTGATCCCAGAGCCTGGGCACCTGATCCCTGCAGAGCCTGGGCACCTGATCCCTGCAGAGCCTGTGCCCTGATCCCTGCAGAGCCTGTGCCCTGATCCCTGCAGAGCCTGGGCACCTCATCCCAGAGCCTGTGCCCTGATCCCAGAGCTGTGCCCTGATCCCTGCAGAGCCTCCTGACCCCAGAGCCTGTGCCCTGATCCCTGCAGAGCCTCCTGATCCCTGCAGAGCCTGTGCCCTGATCCCTGCAGAGCCTGTGCCCTGATCCCTGCAGAGCCTGTGCCCTGATCCCAGAGCCTGTGCCCTGATCCCAGAGCCTTTACCCCGATCCCAGAGCTGTGCCCCGATCCCAGAGCCTTTACCCCGATCCCAGAGCTTTGCCCTGATCCCAGAGCTCTGCCCTGATCCCAGAGCTGTGCCCTGATCCCAGAGCTGTGCCCTGATCCCTGCTGCTGCTGCAGGAATCCCCTGTGCCAGGTGTTCTCTGGTTGTATCAGGAGATTTCTCTCTCCCCTTCCTCCATGAGTCCAGGTTCTCTTACAATGCCTTCTGCTTTCTGGCCTCACTGAAGGCACCTCCTCACTGGCTCTTGGCACAGTGATTTCATTCTGACTCCAGCCACCCCTGGGCTGACAGCAGCTCACAATCTATCAAACAGAGCTGGGCTGGGCCTGTGTGCACAGATGCTGCTGGCTTGCTGGCAGGTGCCAAGGCCTGGGCACCCCGTGGGACTGGCAAAGCCTGCAGCCTTCCTGTGCAGAGCTGTGACTTTATCCAGTGCTTGGCTTGGAGAGAACATCCTGAGTTTCTGCAAAAGCACACATAAAACCCCATCTCAACGTCCTGATGTACTGCAGGAAAGTCAAAAGGCCACTGTGTGACCTAGCCCAGGTGGCAGGCACTGCTGAAGCTGCTCCTTGTTTTTGTTGGGTCCCTGCCTGCTGTTCACAGTGTTTTGGTGGCTGATAACCACTTCTGATGGGTTCCATTGTTTTAAAAATTGTGGTGGAACTCAGGATGAATAAATAGCTTTTTACCACTTCTTAGAACTTCCTCTCCTTTGAAGGAAAAAAAAAAACCAAAAAAGCCATCTCTTATTTCAGGGGGAAGATGTTTTTAGTACAACTTCAAAAGTGCTCAGGAGGTATTAAATCATTTTGCTTGCAAGAACAGCACTACAATTTACAGAACAAATGAAAGATTTCTTGTCTGCCTTTGACATTTCAACAGTTGCTTGGATTTATAATGCATGAACTCAACTCCATGATAAGAACTCTGGAAAACTGTATGACTAAATCCATCAGCCCCTTCAGCTGAGAAGGGAGAGCACAGTTCTGTGGAAATTCAGCTTTTGTAATTTTACAGCCCTGTTATTTATAATGTTTCCTGATGCTTATAGAAGCTGGGTACAGGATTTATAACATCAACAGGTTTCACTGCACAGTGATTCCACTTTGTTACCTGTCTTGAATCCATCAGAGGCTGTACTAATTTAATGAGAATACTTCTTCCCCTAAAAGATGTTAGCATCTGGTTTGTGTTATTTTGAGCTCTGCATTTCCATCATGAACATAATCACTCTGATGGCTCCAGCTCTGTTTTCATAAAGGAACCAGGATAATTCATTGCAGATGGTCTCATCTCATGCAGGAAAAAATCATCTTTAACAGCCATTTTCCAACCTGATTTAAAAATCTCTGTCCTGCCACGGAGTGAGAGGTGCTTCAGCCTTGCCCTGCTCCTGGTAACCCAGGCAGGACTCAGAGAAGCCCAGTGGCCAATGGATTTTATTTTCCCCCCCTTTTTTCTTCTCCCAAAGTCAGTTCTCTTGTGTTCCAGGGGATCAGTCTCTGGTTTGTATTGGCCTTGCTGGATGGATGTGGCAGCACTGAATGCTTCCCTCTGATATGGCTTTCCCAAAGCCCTGGCCTCAGTGCTGTGGTGGTGTCAACAGAATTGAGCCCTTAGAGGGGCCGTGGAGGCCTTTTGGGAAAGGAGGGAGAAATCCTTTGGGCCAGGCAGCACCGGAGGTTGAGGAACTGAGGCCCCTTCAGGCACCAGAAAATGCCCCAGAAATGTGCACACCTGGAAGGAATCCCATCATTGCCCCCCACCTCAGGGTGTGTGCTCAGGGAAAATGGAGCCTCACCTTCAGAGGGGTTTGGATCACAAATAAATAATACTACAAATAAATAATACTACAGATAAATCTGCCCTAGGAGCTCCCCCATCCCTGGAGTGTGTTTGTGTGCTCCCTTGGAGTGAGCCCATGGAAGGGGAAAGGTTCCCTCTGAACCTGGGAAATCCTTGAGCCACGAGTGCATTTGGGTTATCTCTGGTATGGACAGCATTGTCTTCATTTAAAAAAAAAAATGTAATTATGAAAAAGTCTTCTTTCCTTTGCAGGGCAAATTCATCAGGATTAACTTTGATGTCACTGGTTACATTGTTGGGGCCAACATTGAGACCTGTATCCTTTTTCCTGCCACATCATGCAAAATGCAGCTGCCCTGCTTTGTTTTGCTTTTAACCCTAGAATTCATTGGAATGCAGTGAGAGGTTGCCACACTTGGACATTCCTTTGACAGCATCCATCTCTCCCTTTGTTTCAAAATAACTGCTCAAATATCACAGATTCAGCAGCTTCTGTGTGCTCAGAAATCCTAAACTCCCAAATCCCACCCCCTGGAACCTGCAGGGTTTTCAGGCTGGCCTTCAAGCCAGGCTGTGTTAGAAAGGGAAACCATGTGAAATGTGCTTGTGCTGGGAACATTTCTGAAAATCCCCAGTGCCTTCCTGAGGAGGAGCTGAGCCTCTGTGTGGTGCCAGGAGCAGCCCCTGCCTGGAGAGCAGCTCCTGATCCAGGACAGAGCCCAGCTCTTCTGGCTGCCATGAAGGTTCAGTGACACAAGGACTCCTACTATGCTTGATTAATTGTAATTAATACCAAAGGGAATTCAGTTTTAGCTCTAAGAGTTGTTCTTGTTTATGAGTGGAAAACCAAGTCAAAACACTGGCACTGAAAGCCCTTCCCTGAAGTTGTTTTCTCTGTGTTAAAAATGCATTGTGTAATTTTGAGTTTTCTGGGAGAATAGCAGTGGAGTGGTCATAAAAGGATGGAGCTGGGAGTCTTGCTAAACAACATTAAGTGAATATTGATCATAAACAATGCTGTAGTTAAGTTTCCATTTGGTTCCTGTGTTTTGAAACTGCTTGATCTGAACATTTAAGTGTTTGGAATTGTCAGAAAATGTGATTTCCCAATAAGGCTGGGAAAGATCTATAGTTATTCAAAATATGCTGCAATGATAAGTGGGTTTTTTTCATTCACCACAGCACAGGAATGAAGGCAGCCTTTAGGAAAGTCCAGATGAATTGTTTTGCCCAGAGCTTTGTGAAAACAGGAGGATTTAACTCTTGGGGAATTTCTTCTTCATCACAGGAACCCATCCTTGCCATTTCAAATCCCTGTCCTACATTTGCTTTACAATACGGGATATCAAGAAATAAAAAAATGAAATAAGATTACAGCTCATGGCAGCTAATCAGGCACTACCTGCTGCAGGAATTGAATCTGGGAGCTGTTGAAAGGCAGTGTGGATTGTTATGGAAAAAGGCAATGCTTGAAGGGAATGGCAAATGCCATTCCAGTAAAGGAGTTGTGAGTTCAGCAGCTGCTGCTTTTTGGGATTAGGAGTTCAGCTAGGACCTCAATGGAAGTGATGATGGAGAAGGAGGGAGCTCCCCCTCACCAAAAGTGCAGCTGGGCCATGGCAGACAGTGGTGGTTGTAAGGAGCAGGGGATGGAGGGATGGGGGTGTAGAAATGTCAGGAGTTGGCTGGGATGAACAGTGGGTTTCTACCAGCTGGAAATCTCTTACTCAGTCACTAAAGTCCATGTTGGACCTGGTCAGGTCACAGAATGCCAGCCTGGTTTGGGGTGGAAGGGACCTCAGTGCCCGTCCTGCCATGGCAGGGACACCTCCCACTGTCCCAGGGACACCTCTCACTGCCCCAGGGTCGCCTCTCACTGCTATAGAGACACCTCCCCCTGTCCCAGGGTCACCTCTCAGTGCCCCAGGGTCACCTCCCCCTGTCCCAGGGACACCTCTCAGTGCCCCAGGGTCACCTCCCCCTGTCCCAGGGACACCTCCCACTGCCTCAGGGACACCTCCCCCTGTCCCAGGGACACCTCCCACTGCCCCAGGGACACCTCCCCCTGTCCCAGGGACACCTCTCACTGCTATAGGGACACCTCTCACTGTCCCAGGTGCTCCCAGCCCCAGTGTCCAGCCTGTCCCTGGGCACTGCCAGGGATCCAGGGGCAGCCCCCGCTGCTCTGGGCATCGCTCCTGTAATTCTCTTTGGTCTCAGGCTGGTTCCCTGGCCTGCTTTGGGGTTCTCAGTAGGTTTTGAAGCAGGGATTGCAGGTGGCCCTTGACTCCAGGTGACCCCAGACCTGCTGGAGAAGTCTCGAGCCGTGCGTCAGGCCAAGGACGAGCGCACGTTCCACATCTTCTACCAGCTCCTGGCTGGAGCAGGAGAACACCTCAAATGTAAGCTGGGAGTGTCCATCTGACACCCACTGGGTGCTGCATTGGTTGTTTCAGGGGTACAGGGTGGGTTTGAGTGGTTCTGTGGTTGTGAGTGGTGAGCTTTAGGGGAGAGGCTGGGTAGCTTTGCCCTGCAGTCACTGCTGGGGTGTGCTGGTGTTCACAGGGGTCCCAGGACGAGGGAAGAGATGAGAATCCTGACTCCATGTTTCAGAAGGCTGATTTATTATTTTATGATATATATTATATTAAAAGAAAATGATATATTAAAAGTGTACTAAAAGAATAGAAGAAAAGATTTCATCAGAAGGCTTGAAAGGAAAAGAAAGGAAAAGAATGATAATAAATTCTTGTGACTGCTCACAGCCTCGACACAGGTGGCTGTCATTGGTCATCAAGTAAAAACAATTCACATGCTGGGTGAGCAATTCTCCAAATCACATTCCAAAGCAGCAAAACATGGAAAAGCTGAAGCTTCCCAGCTTCTCAGGAGAAAAGATCCTAATGAAAGGATGTTTCATAAAATATGTCTGTGACACTGGGTTTTATCAGGCATGCTGGGGAGCCACTCTGCCATTCCAGGGCAGTGTCTCCTCCCTGCCAAAGCCCAGTTTGGGAATCCCTGGACTGGAGTGCAGAGTTCCCAGATGGAAACAACCAGTCCCATCTCCTCCAGCCTGCAGAGAAATTTCACCCAAACCCAGTGAAACCCTGGGCTGTCTTCAAGCCATGGCAGTGCTGGGGTGGTTATCTCAGCTCTGTTTGGGGATTTTTTCCCTCCTTGGGAATTCCTGGTGGGCTGTGATAACTGGAGCTCATAAAGATACAGACTTCAGAGAACTGGTCCACTCCTCCTGTAGGAGATAAGGTGGTGCTCACATCCTTGATGGGATCATCAATCCCCAGCTCCATTTCTGCCTGGGTCTGGTAGCTTTCAGTAGAGGTTTCCTTTCAGGATATTCCAGATGAGGATTTGAGATGGATCTGGTTAATGTTCTGGGGCTGGTGTAATGCATTGGAGAGCTTGTGGAGGTTGCTGCAGGGAGAGTCTGAGTCTGGCCTCAGCTTGGGAGGTGGACTTGTATTTTTAGGGTATTTTTAGGGTTTCAGAAGCTGCTCTCCTGGCTTGTAGCCATTTCTGAGGGACTGGTTTCCTAAAGCAGAGCTGGGGAATTGAGTGAGAACAGAGCACGGGTGGGTGTGAACAGCATTGCTGAGCTTATTTTTCTGTCTCCTCCCCTTCCCCCAACACAGCTGACCTGCTGCTCGAGGGATTTAACAATTACAGATTTTTATCTAATGGCTACATCCCCATCCCTGGGCAACAAGACAAGGACAACTTCCAGGAGACAATGGAAGCCATGCATATCATGGGCTTCTCACACGATGAGATCCTGTGTAAGTTATGGAGCCTCTGGAATTTCCAGGGTCCTTTTCCCTCTCTCTCACACACACACTCTGCTAATTTAGTGTCACCAAGTTTAATGTTGCTTCAGTGTCTCTGACAGCCTGAAGAAAATGTTTGCTTGACTCCAACTGGAGTTGAATTCAAGCCATTTGCCCAAAAAGCACAGTACAAACTGTATTTCCTCCCTGAACTTCTTTCTCCTTGCAATCTGGAAGGAGAGTGACACAAGAAACAGGAGGAAAGTGTGTTCAGCTGAGCCCTGTGCCATGGAACTGATGCAATGTCTCTTGTTATCACAGCCATGCTGAAAGTGGTGTCCTCAGTGCTGCAGTTTGGAAACATTTCCTTCAAGAAGGAGAGGAACACAGACCAGGCCTCCATGCCAGAGAACACTGGTGAGTTCCCATGTCTGGGGGTGTCCTTGGGCTTGTGCTGAGCTCTCTGCCTGCCCTGTCCAGGGCAATCTTGGCAAGCACAGAGCAGTGCTGAGCATCCTTGGGAGGGGCCTGGGCTGATGGCACCAACAAACAATTCCCAAACCTCTCCCTTTCCATCTCCTGCTGCAGACAAATGCAAATGTCCATCAGGGGAATTGATGCTGTTTGCATTGCTGCTAAGCTTGGAACAAGTATTTTGGTTGTAATCTTGTTTATTGCTCTCTCCAAAGATTTAAGCCCTAGCAAGAAGTTCATGCTTAAATCAGTTTGTTTGCTTTGGTTGCTGAGAGCAGTTTTGTTGCCAATGATAAGAGCCCTGGAGCCAAGCACAACTTCCCTGGTGCAGTGGCTGAGGACAGGAATGCTGCATTTAGAGCAGGCTCACTTCTGGAGTGTCCTGGCAGCGTGGCTGACACTGAATTTATCAGTGCCTGCAATGCAATCAGCTTTTGGAAGGATACATTTCTTCCCCCACCCCCAAAAAAACCCAACAAGCTGCTGAGAGGCACATTTGAGGTTTTTATTGAAGGCTGCAGTGCCAGCCTTTGAAATGTTCTCATGAGAGGCATTTTGGAGAGCTGGCATCACTGGAGGGGCAGGGGAACCCCCATTCCCAGGAGATGCTGAGCTCAGCTTCTTGTCTGGTCTCATCCTGTAACTGCCCCAAATTCCTGAGCTCCTGGGTCACTTGTAAAGCCCAAAATTGTCCTTTCTGAGGGCAGTGGTGCTGCCCAGGTTAGAGGTCAGTAGTTACTGCCCTGGCTTTTGGCACTTTGTGTTGCAATGGGGAGAAAAGATGGGTGTGGGGTTAATTTTTTGGGCTTTTCCTGGTTTAGAGAACCCACCCAGGTCATGGTCCTTGTGGAAGGTGTAGGGTGGAAAGACAGAGATGCTTCTTGGCTGTCTGTAGTTGCATTACCATTGGTTTTTAGACATCAATTCTGAATTACAACACTGGCTATAAATACATTGATACTCTTGGATATTTATAGTACTGGATCCAAAATTCTGACCTCTAAAGCCAAAAGGATGAAAAGCTCAGATCACAAAGCATATTCTGCTCTCTTATATTTAAGAATTTGGTATATGGTCTAAGTTATTGCATCTTGCTGGAGGAATTGAGGGTAACTGATCTCTCTTTTCTTGTCACATCCCATTGTGAGGGTTACCCTGCATCCTCTGCAGAAATCAGAGTGTCCCTACAGGGACTCCCCTTGCTCAGAGCCTGGGTGTGACACAGCCAGGCACTGCCTCTGTGGGTGGGAGGAGTTTGTGTGGGCACTGAGATGGGAACCCATTCAAAGAACCTGGGAACCAAATTCTCCCCTGGAGATGGTGAATGTAGATAAACAAATCCTGGGCTCAAGTACAGCTGTCAGAGCAGCCACAGAGCCTTTGTGGCTCAGGAGGATGGAGGAGCTGGGCTTGGAGAGTCAATTCATGCTCACCAGGCTGGGAAGGGACCTTGCAGCTGGGAGGGCAGAAGTTCAGAGCAACCTCATAAAGTTCATGTTCACCTCTGATAGGAGCTCCTCAGTATCTTGGCTTTGTAATTAATTCAGAACTTTCTGTCCAAACCCCAGCAGTAATAAAACTTGGCTCAGGACATCAGGGTTTTCTCCAGTCCCACCTTTTCAATTGTCCTTTCTCATTACAAACAAACAAGGAGGTGCCCTGCCTGTGGCAGGGGGTGAACTGGTGATACTTGAGATCTCTTCTACCACCTGCTCTGGATCATTGGCTGGGATCTCACCTGCTGTGGTTTATTGGGATCATTGGCTGGGATCACTCCTGCTGTGGTTTATTGGGATCGTTCTCACCTGCTGTGGTTTATTGGGATCATTGGCTGGGATCTCACCTGCTGTGGTTTATTGGGATCATTGGCTGGGATCACTCCTGCTGTGGTTTATTGGGATCATTGGCTGGGATCTCACCTGCTGTGGTTTATTGGGATCATTGGCTGGGATCACTCCTGCTGTGGTTTGTTTGGATCATTCTCACCTGCTGTGGTTTATTGGGATCATTGGCTGGGATCACTCCTGCTGTGGTTTATTTGGATCATTCTCACCTGCTGTGGTTTATTGGGATCATTGGCTGGGATCACCCCTGCTGTGGTTTATTGGGATCATTGGCTGGGATCACCCCTGCTGTGGTTTATCGGGATCATTGGCTGGGATCTCACTTGCTGTGGTTTATTGGGATCATTGGCTGGGATCACCCCTGCTATGGTTTATTTGGATCATTCTCACCTGCTGTGGTTTATTGGGATCATTGGCTGGGATCACTCCTGCTGTGGTTTATTGGGATCATTGGCTGGGATCTCACCTGCTGTGGTTTATTTGGATCATTCTCACCTGAAGCACAGTTTATGACTGACTGGAAAGGCTGGGACAATAAACTCCATGTCCCTGGGTTATGCAAGGAGCTGAGTGTGGTATTTGGGGTGCTCTGGGACCCTCCTTCCTTGCACTGCAATATCCTTTACAGCATCCCCTGGCTACTTAATATTTTCAAGTCCTTGTTTTATTTGTTTATTTTAACAATCCTGAGAGCACTTCCTGCTTGGCCCCTGAGGTTGTGAGTTTTATCTGATGTGCTGGTGCAGATTTGTTTGCTCAGAGCCCAGAAATGCTCCTGTTTGTGGCTCAAGTGAAGGAGTGCTCAGTTTGTGACACTCCCCTGATCTCACTGCTTGTGTGTCAGGTCATGAACCCTTCCAGTGAACATATGGCCAGACAGAGAATCTCAACATTAAAGAGCAATAATAGTTTTCTTAATACTAAAGAAAAAAATAATGCAGCAGAAACTCTCCTATATTAGTATGAACATCTGTTTTCCAATGCTATTTGAAAAAATCCAGCTTTTTATTTTCATTTTGACAGTAAAAGAAGCTATCAGATGATAAAGATAAGGGGCCAAGTTCTTACTGGGTGGTGTGGAGAGCTTCCTGCTAAAGGGCAACACTTCCCTGGATCTAAAAATACCCTCAGTGTCACTGTCATTTTTAGAAGTGTGGAATCACAGCCACCCGAGCTCCTGGGCCTCGTGTTCAGGGGAGGGACTGATGCAGCAGGAGCCTGTAGGGCTGGTGTGGGTAATGCACATTAAAATAATGAAATGACACCAGGAGGCTCCTGCTGTTGGAGTGCACTGCTGCCTGTGCTGCTGTTCTGTGTGAAGTATTGGAATCCCAGGCTGGTTTGGGTTAAAGGTTATCCCATTCCAGAAGGGACCCCTCCCACTGTGCCAGCCTGTCCTGGGGAGTGCTCAGCTCCCTGGCAAGGTGGCACAGCCCTGCTTTGGGCTGGCACAGCTGCCTGCCCTGAGCCGGGTTTTCAGGCACCTTTAGGATGGTGGATTTGATGTGTGATGTCCCCATGCTGTCCTTTTTTCCTGGGCATCAGAAAAGGGATGTATTCCTTTTCAGAGCAGCTAAATGAGCTGTTAATGAGCTGGCTCCTGATGAATTCCAGCCTTTCCCTGCTCCCCAGGCACATCCAGCTGTGTCCCTGTGGAGAGCTCTGCCAGCCTTGGGGACACAGCCCCCGAGGCTGGCACTGACCCTGGCACTGACCTGGGCACCTGTGCTGCTCCTGAGGTGGCAGCTCCTGGTGTCTCAGTGCTCCCTTTGTCCCTCTGTCCCCGTGTCCCTCTGTCCCCGTGTCCGTGTGTCCCTCGCAGTCGCACAGAAGCTCTGCCACCTGCTGGGAATGAACGTCATGGAGTTCACCCGCGCCATCCTCACCCCCCGCATCAAGGTGGGCCGGGACTACGTGCAGAAAGCCCAGACCAAAGAACAGGTGAGCTCTGAAAGGTCCACAAAGCCCAGACCAAAGAACAGGTGAGCTCTGAAAGGCCCACAAAGCCCAGACCAAAGAACAGGTGAGCTCTGAAAGGCCCACAAAGCCCAGACCAAAGAACAGGTGAGCTCTGAAAGGTCCACAAAGCTCAGACCAAAGAACAGGTGAGCTCTGAAAGGCCCACAAAGCCCAGACCAAAGAACAGGTGAGCTCTGAAAGGTCCACAAAGCCCAGACCAAAGAACAGGTGAGCTCTGAAAGGTCCACAAAGCTCAGACCAAAGAACAGGTGAGCCTTAAAAGGTGCTTTAAAGACCTTTAAAGGCTGAGGGAAGCTGCCTTGTCCTCATTAGCTCCTAACAGAGACAATTGGCTTTCAGCATTTGCTGCTCTGTTAAAGCTTTACTGTCTTTGTGAAATGTTCTTATATGGTAAAAATCATTTGTAGAACAGAAGAAACCTTTCCATTTCCTTGATTTTCTCCTGGTTTCATCCTTTCATGTTGTGACATTATTAAATACTTGGAGACCTTTTGTTTTTATGGAACAGTTTAGAAAGAAATTTTTCTTAACATTGATCAAACTCCCAACTGTTCCTACTGCTTGTTTTCATTCCTCACTGGTATTAACTCCATCCAGCTTCTTCCTTCACCGAGTTATTTGTGATAACATCCACGTCTGTGTCCTTTTGATGGCTTTTCCAGGGTAAATAAATGTTCCTGTTTGGGTTTGCAGGCGGACTTTGCAGTGGAAGCCTTGGCAAAGGCCACCTACGAGCGCCTGTTCCGCTGGCTCGTGCACCGCATCAACAAAGCCCTGGACAGGACCAAACGCCAGGGAGCCTCCTTCATTGGCATCCTGGACATTGCTGGCTTCGAGATCTTTGAGGTACAGGGAGATGTCCCTGCTCAGGGTTTCCTTTTCCTGTTTCTGTGGGGTCAGGACAGTGCAGAGGCACCGAAGGCAGCGTGGTCTGAGGTTACACAAGGGATTTGTTTAGGTGTACAAAGGCTTTGACAGCCCAAAGTTACAGTGCCAGAAAATCATAACTTAATATTTAATCCTTCTTTATGTGTGATAGTTGTTCCTACTATAATTTAATTATTCCTACTATAATTTAATTGTTCCTACTATAATTTATGTCCTGGAGATTGGTAGAATTGCTTTCCAGTTTTCTTGGCGTTACATTCGAACTCTGCGAAGTTTTGGAGAATTTCCTTATAAAGTCAAATTTTTGCCTCCCAGATCTGTGGTGTCTTGTCACTGACTCATTCTTGAACACTGCTGTTGTTTTGCAGCTGAACTCCTTTGAGCAGCTCTGCATTAACTACACCAACGAGAAGCTGCAGCAGTTGTTCAACCACACCATGTTTATCCTGGAGCAAGAGGAATATCAGCGAGAGGGCATCGAGTGGAACTTCATCGATTTTGGCCTGGATCTGCAGCCTTGCATTGACTTAATTGAAAGACCTGTAAGTTTGCACATGAATAATGCTCTGAGGAGAAGAGCTTGGAGTGCTGACTGTGTCTTTTGCTGCCTGCAAATGAGACATTTCTTTGTGGAGCTGTCATTAAAAGGGAATTAACAGGAATGCTGAAGTTCAAATCTAAAATACCGTGTATTGTTAATAAAAGGATTTATCCAGAGGGGATTTTGCCCTTATGTCAGTGCAAAACACTGAGCTCAAGATATGAAGCTGCTATTTTTATACCTTTTTCCCTGGTACTAATGAAGTCATTAATTCTGTCAGTGTCATTAAACTGTGCCATTGTGGTGTAGGAGCTTTGGGACTCAGGTAGAAAGTTTTCCCAAGACTTCTGGTAGATTTTCTTCATTGGAAATCAATAACAAAATTCCTGAAACTTCATGTAGAGTAGAGTTTCCCCTCAGAAAATTGCCTTGCAAATAGGAAAACAGGATCTTAGAAGTGGTTTTAGTCACTGTGGTTTTTAACATCCTCCTCCGGCTGCTCAATCCATGGAAGCTGAGGAGCAGCAGGAGCAGATGGGGAGAACAGAGACTCCAGAAAGTTTGTTCTGTCCATGTCAGAACCTTTTAAATGAAACCTGGGCCAGTGCAGGTACTCTCCTGCCCATTTCTGTGTATCCTGGGGTGCAGGGGAGCTCCCAGTGCTGCTGCTGTGCATCCTGACCAGCAGAAAAGCTGCATTCCTGTTTCCCTATGGGAAAAGAGAAATCTTGTTTCAGTTATCAAAGGTCTGCACTTGGTGTGTGGAACTGAGAAAGTTCTGCCTCCTTGGAAGGTAAAATCTCCTCCAAAAAGCCTCAGGGGACAAGCGTGGCTGCCCTCAGTGTGCACATGTTTAGGTGAATATCCTAAAACAACTCAAGTTATTTATTAACTTCAAATCAAACCTCAGTACCCTCCCAGCTGTTCTGTAAGTGTGATGCCAGGTACATTGAAACATCTCTCACCAAAGGGGTGAACTTTGCATTCTCTCAGAACCTTTTAAGTATAAATCCTGACAAAGCAAGGCTCTGGTCAGCATGGACCAGCTCAGTGGTGTCCCCATGGGTATTGGAATGAGTTTGTTTGAATCAGCTGTGACATCCTTCTTGACCTGGACTCCCCCACAGCTTGTTTTACTGAAATTAGGCTTGGAACATTTGGGACTACCCTTATTGTGATGTTCAGTGGTGCACTGGAAATATTAAACTTTGAAAAAAAAATAATTATATATATACATATATAAAACATGAGCACACTCTCAAACTGCTTTTCAGGCAAATCCTCCTGGTGTGTTGGCATTGCTGGATGAAGAATGCTGGTTCCCTAAAGCTACTGACAAGACATTTGTGGAGAAATTGGTCCAAGAGCAAGGAACTCATTCCAAATTCCAAAAGCCAAGGCAACTGAAGGACAAAGCAGACTTCTGCATTATTCACTATGCAGGGAAGGTAAGGGCTCAACATTAAATTCTAGTTTGGAAAGGTTGGTTTGGGGAAAGTTCTCTGCTTTCCTTCCCAACCCTGGATGCAAAAACAGACAACTTCTGCCTTGGTTGGAGCAGAACCATGCTGGTCTACAGAGATTTTAGGGAATCTCTGTAGGGAATAAGGGAATTTTAGGGCTCCCTGGGTTGTGATGAAGCCCAGGTTGGTATCAATGATTTTTTAGCTGCTGAGCTGGGGTTTATTTGGAAACCACAGATTTGACCCTTTAAAGATAAGAACTTTGTTTTCTGTATAGAACCAAGTGTTTAAATGTAAATACTGAGAGAAATTTTAAAAAATCATGCTGCAGCACATCCTTAATTTACTCTCCAGTAATTTAGATAAAGTAATTGGTGACTATCCTAGAGCTGTTTTTACATCTTCACAAATGAAACTCATTTTGACAATAAACTGGGCAGCAAATAAACACCCAGCTGTCAGTAAGAGAGCAGTCAGATTGCTGAATTTTAAAGAAAACCCCCATTTACTCTTCCAAAAGCATGACAAACTTTGAGCTGTCCTAAGGAGGCTCAGCCAGCAAATGTGAGCACCAGGCAGGGCTGGATCTGAGCCTGGAGGGCTTTGCCAGCCTTGGTGCTCCTGAGCTTGGGCAGTGAGAGGGAAGCACCTCTGGTGTTTGATGCTGAGCAATGGACACCTGGAGCTGGTTTTGCTCTGAGCCTGAGCCCTTGGCTGCCCTGCAGGTGGACTACAAGGCAGATGAGTGGCTGATGAAGAACATGGACCCCCTGAACGACAACGTGGCCACGCTCCTGCACCAGTCCTCTGACAAATTCGTGGCTGAGCTTTGGAAGGATGGTAAGAGAGCTCTGAGCACAGATTGTTGGTGATTTCACCTTGCCTGGATGAGTTGTTTGGGGTGGTTTTTTAATGCCTGTTCCTTCCTCACCCTCCACTTCTCCATTGTAAATCCCTACAGCATTTTCTCTCTTACTTAGTGCCCAAAGTCCACCAAGGAAGCTGAGTTGCACCTCTGGTCCCTTGCACATGTTACCATTTCTGAGTAGCTGCTTCTCATGTTCATTACTGGAACTGATACTCACTTTTTACTTGTTTCTCTGTGTCCAATTTCATGTGGAATCTTGTCCAGAACCCTTGGTTGGGGCTTGCTGCAGTGGAGCCCTGAGTGTGAACAGCTGGGCTGGTTCTTGCTGTTGGTAAAGCATTGTAAACACTGTGTCTGTGAGCACCAGCACAGTTATTTCCTGTGCAGTGGTGGGTGGTACTCTGGAAACCCACATCTCCTCAAATTCATTGCAATAGCAGCTGTAGAAGGGCTGAGATTAAAATCAAATCCTGTTTTAGCTGCACACTGCTGCTCAGCCAGGTTACCTGCCCATCACCTGGAAGTATTCATCAGTACTTGCACCAAATGACTCCAAAAGCAGAAACAGCCACATAAATACTTAGCAGGGACTTTTCTATTCTGCTTTTTAACATCACAGTCTGATGGTTAGTGTGTATTCACATGTCACAGGGTATAAACCCTGCAGTTTGCTGCTTGAGGAGGAAATGAAGCTTGTGATTTGGATGGTGCTGGAGGTTAATGCTGAGTTTCCCTCTTTGGGCAGCCACAGAGAGCAGCTTTAATGAATCTATAAAGAACTTTTTTGGTTGTGGATCTGCCCCTTTCCCTTGGAGGACACACACAGAGCACAATTGTGTTTTGGTCCAAATCCTCACACCCTGTTCCCACAGACCATTGAAATGTGCATGGGATATGTTGTGGCACAGTGAAGTGTGTTTGCAATTGATGAACCTGTTGTTTTTACTAACTCAAGTGTCTTGTGTATCTGCTCTTCTGTCTTTGTGTTTCTGCTGTTTCTCTGCCTTAGAGATTCAGAATATTCAGAGAGCCTGTTTCTATGACAATATTTCTGGTCTTCATGAGCCACCAGGTGAATGGATATAAAACACTAGGCCTACTAAAGGCAGGGCTGTTGTACCTCCAGGAGAACCATTTTTGCTCGTAGGCTTGCATGAACTTCTCATTTCATGCTGAATTTAGGTAAAACCCCCCCAGCCCCCCTGGGGCCCCCAGTGCATTCCTGTCCAGCTGCTGCTGCACACACACAAAGCATCTCCAGTTTTGCATTGCAGATGAAAAGGTTTGTTGCTTCCTGGTTCCATGAGGAGATGTAGAATTGCCTCTAAAAGTGACAATTCTGGTAGCTGCAAGCATTTGAGAGAATGCAAAAGCTTTGGAACACTATCAAGCTTCTTTCTGCAGTCCAACATTGACAAAACTCTGGGATGTTTTAGGACGTGGCTGTGTCCTTTTGGGAGGAGAGCTCAAGAATGTTTTGAAGTATCAGGATGAGTGCTGCAGTTTTAGTGGGGGTAGAAAGTGAAATAAACTTCTTTCAGCCTTGTTGGAATTGTCCTTTCATTTAAAAGCCTATTAATTGTAATATTTATATAAGCTGCAGATGTTTTTAGGGGTATTGAGAAATCAATAAATGCACTTGGAATGTTTTTGAAGACAGTTTAGATATTCAGTTCAACTTCCTCATCCTTCTTGGATTCCTCTCCCCAAGTTTAGAAACACATGGATGTGAAGGTTGTGCCCTCAGATTTTGGGTTTATCTCTCACCACTCCTGATAGATCCCATCCCTGAGGAAACCAGGGCTGTTCCTAAAGGAATTCCTGCAGAGCTTTGATCCAGGGGCTCCAGCCAGGGGTGGTGGCCCAGTCATGCAGTTCATGCTTTAACCGATAGGCAGAGCTCACATTTAACTCCAGTCATCCTGTTTGAAATGTAAATCACCCTCCTAGAGGGGAGCAGCACAAAACTGGGCAGGATCAGATCTGTGTGCCAAGTTGTAGGAAGTACAAGGTGAAATAAAGCTGAGTGGTTGCAGTCCTTAGTGGGTCCTGGTGGCTGCAGGTTCCTAATATTGACAATCATTCCATCCCCTTATAAAACTGACTCCTGTAGTCTCTGTCCCATGTCTGATTTGGGACTGAATTCTGCTTCAAAACAAATATTTGGGATTTGACCTTATAAACACCTTATCAGTGACTTACTTCTCCAACTTTAATAAGTTTAGTTCTTGTGTTCAAAACCTGTGGAGGATACAGGCTCTGCTCTACAGACAAGACTTAAAACTGATTATTCAAATTTGCTGCCCTGTATTTCTCTGCTTTTAATTTTCCTTTTTTTTTAAATAGACCTTTGACCAGTTGAATATTGGGAAGAAGTTAAATAGTGTCCCTTACTTGTCAGATAATTCTGATAGCAAAGCACAATTCCCTCTGCTTTGGTTTGAATGAATTTGAAGATAATGTGACAAAAGTGAAGCTGTAGCCTACAAATAGATTCTTGTTTCTGGCTGCCCAGCTTGGATTTCTTGGAGAACCCACAAATGCTGGGATTTGCTCAGTCCTGAGAAGCACCAGCTGTAATTACTGAGGTGTTAAACCACCTGTGTATCTTTTAGTGAACTGTTTAACAACCCTTGACATGCACATGGAATCACCTTCAAGGTTTTAATAATGGCACTCACATTTCTATTTGTGCTTCTGAAAAACAAACCCTTGAGATCCTTACCCAAAATGTTCCAAAAAATCAAATACAAATCTCTATTGTGAAGCTTTAGTAAAGGCAGCTTGGAAGTGCTTTGGTGGGGAGTTTTCCTGGTTGGAAACTTGTCTTTTGGGCAGGGAGATCTTTGCAGGTGTATTTAAGAAATGGGAAGAACTCTCCCAAACAGCAGCTGAGCACAAGTCTGGCAGATACTTTTTCCCCTCTTGTCACTGAAATAACACTATTTCCAACTCTTCTGGAAATTTCTGTTGAAAGATGAACTAAACTCAGGTTTAAGCTATCTCATTGTCCTAAGTGACTTTTCATGCACAGCTGTGTAATTCCAAATGTTGAACCCATGAGCACTGTGCAGTGTAAGGACTCGGATAGAGAGCTGCCCGTGAGCTGGCATTTACCTCTCTATGAAGGGATTTAACCACAGAAAACAGCTCTCCTGGTCATGTAGAACTGCAGGCAAAGAGCTGGATGTTCCAGCCTGTACCTCCTGAAGCTGCACTCGTGTGCTGGATGAGTCTGTGGCTGTTGGTCCCCGAGCTTGTGTCGCGGTCCCGCTGCGCTGCCTCGCCCGCCAGCGCTGTCCCCGGCTTCTGCTGCTGCTCCCGTGCCACCAGGGCCACCGGGGCCACCCCGCTCAGCCCTTGCCTCTTGTCCCCCGCAGTGGATCGCATCGTGGGGCTGGACCAGGTGACGGGCATCACGGAGACGGCCTTTGGCTCAGCCTACAAGACCAAGAAGGGCATGTTCCGCACCGTGGGCCAGCTCTACAAGGAGTCCCTGACCAAGCTGATGGCCACGCTGCGCAACACCAACCCCAACTTCGTGCGCTGCATCATCCCCAACCACGAGAAGAGGGTAGGGCTGCAGGCCACTGCTGCTGCCTGCTTCTCCTGTTCCCACCTGCCCCGAGCCCTGCGCCCTGCCCGGGCCTTCCCTCTCCACTCAGGGCTGTCACACACACCGGGCAATGTCTGCTCAGAGCTCCCTGCCTGTCCCCTGACTCACCAGCTGCCTTCTGGCCTCAGCAACTGAAAGTGCACTTTGCCACTGTAATAATTAATTTAATAATAGAATGTAATTTTTTACTTTATAATTTATTTAATTTATAATTTAGTAATATAAATCAATTTTATAACTAATTTAATAATTAATTTAATGCCAATTAAAAGAATCCGTGTTTTATTTTGTCCAGGCTAGAAAACGGAAAGTAGTTTGCCACTGTAACAATTAATTTAATAATAAAATTTAATTTTTTACTTTATTTAATCTAATTTATAATTTAATTTATTTCATTTATAATTTAATAATATAAATTAATTTTATAACTAATTTAATAATTAATTTAATACCAATTAAAAGAATCTGTGTTTTATTTTGTCCAGGCTAGAAAACTGAATGTACAGTTTGCCACTGTAACAATTAATTTAATAATATAATTTAATTTATAATTTGTTGAATTGATTTAATTTAATTTATTTCATTTATAATTTATTTCATTTATAATTTAATAATATAAATTAATTTTATAACTAATTTAATAATTAATTTAATGCCAGTTAAAAGAATCTGTGTTTTATTTTGTCCAGGCTGGAAAACTGAAAGTACAGTTTGCCACTAAGACCAGTTAAAATAATCCGTGTTTTGTTTTCTCCAGGCAGGAAAACTGGACCCACACCTGGTTCTAGATCAGCTCCGCTGCAATGGGGTTTTGGAAGGAATAAGGATTTGTCGGCAGGGATTCCCTAACAGGATCGTGTTCCAGGAATTCAGGCAGAGGTAACAGCAGCAGCAACAGCCTTTTCTGTTCTTAGGAGCCTTTTGAGTTCCTTATTAAATAATTAGAGACCCCACATTCCTCCCTTCTCTCCCAGCACAGCTCAAAGGGAATCAAAACCTGGGAATCAAAACCTGGTTGTGAGGCCTTGAATTTCAAGTGTTTACCTACTGCAGTTTATTCTGAAGGCAGTAGGGAAGGGAAACAATCCAAAATTGGCTGCTGGAAAAGCTTCCTGGAGGAATTCCTAACTGTGCACTTGGTCACTGTAGTTTATGCTATAAATCACTAAGTTTATACTATAAATCACTTAATTTATACTCTAAATCACACTGTTCATTGCTGAGTGTAAAGGTGTTTTTTCATTTGCCTTCCAGGTATGAGATCCTCACTCCCAATGCAATTCCCAAAGGTTTCATGGATGGTAAGCAAGCCTGTGAGCGTATGGTAAGTGTTCATAGCTAAATATTGTCTAAACATTGGAAAATTCCCCATAATTGTCCTTTTCTTGGTGTAACAACAACACCCTTGCCTGTCTGTTCAGATCAGAGCCTTGGAGCTGGACCCCAACTTGTACAGAATTGGACAGAGCAAGATCTTCTTCCGAGCTGGAGTCCTGGCACACCTGGAGGAAGAGAGGGACCTGAAGATCACAGACATCATCATCTTCTTCCAGGCAGTGTGCAGGGGATACCTGGCCAGGAAGTGAGTGTACTCTGCCCCTCTGATGGGGAGCTGTGCATTAAAACTTGAATTTCAGGAGAGATTTTCTGAGTGTGTTGCCTGAGGAACTGTAATTGTGTCCTGGGTATTAAGAGGATTTTTGCCTGGGGAGAATTTGCACCTTCATTCCTTAATAATATCTCCTTTCCCTGCTCTTCCCTTTGTGGCACACACAGCCCTTTACAGTGGCTGCAAATTCATTTTCTCTCCTCCTGTCCCACTGGAGGTTCCTGGAAGTTTGTTGGAAAGCTGCTTTTGAAAAATTAAAGTAGCTAATCCATCCTGATTTTGTCTTTTTAAGAAAAAAAGCCTGTTGAGAGTAAGAGCAAACAGCATTTTTAATTATTGGAAATGGTTAATGCAGCTCTTGCTCTGACTCTATAGGAGCAAGAACTCATAAATTCAGTGTAGTTACTGAAACTTATAAATAAGCCTATTTATGGTCTGTAAGTGTTGTAGGGTTGGGTAACCTGAAAATTAAATGATGGTCTGCTGTATTTAACACATTTATTTTTTTAACTTTTTGCTGTATTCAGGGCCTTTGCAAAGAAGCAGCAGCAGCTGAGTGCATTGAAAATCCTGCAGAGGAATTGTGCTGCATATTTGAAGCTGAGGCACTGGCAGTGGTGGAGAGTCTTCACCAAGGTTCCTTCTGTTCTGTCTTTTCTGTTTGATTCACCTGTAAATAGCTGAGTGCAGGCTCTCACATCTTCATTTCCCCCCTGTGCAGGTGAAGCCTCTTCTGCAGGTCACTCGTCAGGAAGAAGAGCTTCAAGCCAAGGACGAGGAGCTGATGAAGGTGAAAGAAAAACAGACAAAAGTGGAGGCAGAGCTTGAGGAAATGGAAAGGAAACATCAACAGGTTTGTGTCCAAGATCAGCTTTTGATATGCAGGACAGGGATTGTGCTGTGTCCCATGTGGGGGAGCCTAAGAGGGTCAGGTGAGCTGATTCCCACTCTGCTGGAGTGTGGAATGGGAAGATACAGCCCTGGAATGTGGAATAGGGATGCAGAAACATCTTACCAAAACAAAACCTGATTTTGTGGCCTTCCCTGGTTTACAGGAGAAATTCAGTGGCAGAGTCATTCTGTGCCTGGGCTGGGCAGGCTGTGGGCAAACACTTGGGGCAGCTCTGCAGATCTTTGGTGGCTTTCTGTGCTGGCAGAAATTTGGTGAATAAAGGAGGAGCAGTTCCAGTGTCACCTGGAGAGACAAGGAGCTGATGGATGCACCTCAGTGGGTGGGGGCACCCCAGGGCTGGCAGGCAGTGCCTCCATTCCAGTGACAAGTGGCATCCTCAGGGATGGGGCCTGGGACTGGCCAGAAGTGCCAGGATCAGCCCATGGCACTGCCCTGCCACTCTGCAGCAAATGCTGCTGGATTCTGAGCTGGGGTCCTCTGGGCTGCTCCTAAAGCCTCTGGGTTTGGGATGTGGACAGGGGAGGCAGGAACTGGAGCACAGCATGGCCTTGAAGTAATCTCTGACCAGAGTCTCTGAAGTGTCATTTTTAAAGCTTCACTGCCTTTTGTATTTGCAGGTGCTGGAGGAGAAGAACATCCTTGCAGAGCAGCTCCAGGCTGAGACAGAGCTCTTTGCAGAGGCTGAGGAGATGAGGGCTCGCCTGGCTGCCAAAAAGCAAGAGTTGGAAGAAATTCTCCATGATCTGGAGTCCAGGGTTGAGGAGGAGGAGGAAAGAAACCAAATATTGCAGAATGAGAAGAAGAAGATGCAGGGCCATATCCAGGTATGGCTCTCAGTGACTGGAGGTGGGAAGCGGGATGGGGAAGCTCCCTCAGCTTCTCTGCAGGACAGAGGAATTTGGCTCCTGAGTGGAATAGAATGATTTCTCTTCTCTCTTCACTTCTCATGGTGTCACTTGTGAGAGAAATGTTCCTTTTGGACTGAAATCCAGGGAACATCATGAAGGAAATGACTCCTTTGACTTCACTAAGACAATGTCATTTCCTCCAGCTTACTTGATTGAGGTGCTTTTGAAAATCAGATTATTTAGATGCTTTCTTTTAAATGATGGTGGCCCTGAAAAAGGGAGTAGCTGAGAACTTACCTGCCTTTAAAAATATTAAAAGTAGTTGAAGAGGGAATAAACTCCACTTCTCACAGCTTTTGATGCAATTTAAAAATGTCTGTTAATCATATTTAAATGAATCATGTTTAAACCCCCAGGAGCACAGGGCATTATTGCTTTTTAGCTCTTTGTGTCAATAACTGGACTGGCTCAGCTGTGATACTGAAATAAGGAGGGTTGTTTCCTGTGGAATCTCTTCTCAGATCCTGGTGGTTTTCCACCAGGAGCCCCATTCAGGTGCAGTGTGCTGGGAAGCCTCTGACCAATCAGCCTGGTCTGATTGGCTGTCATTAATTACAGATTTTTTATTTTATAGTTGGAATTAGGAAGGTGAAGCCTGTGGCAGTGAGTTTGTTTTCCCTAGAGAGCACATTTCACCCAAAGCTGGAATCCAGAGCATCAAAAATTCCATGTGCATCCCATGGCCCTTCATTCCTCACCTGATCATTGATCCTGTAAATGAATCTAGCAAAGCAAATGGGGGTTTGCTGTGTGTTAGGGCAAGAGGCTTTTCAAAGTAACCCATCTTTGTCACTAAGTTAACAAAACCCAAGTTACCACCTGGATAACCTGGAAAATGCTCAGATGCAGCTGTCTCTGTTGCAGGACCTGGAGGAGCAGCTCGATGAGGAGGAGGGAGCTCGGCAGAAGCTGCAGCTTGAAAAAGTGACAGCTGAAGCGAAGATCAAGAAGATGGAGGAGGAGATCCTGCTGTTGGAGGACCAAAATTCCAAATTTCTGAAGGTGGGAGCAGTGTGCAGGGTGGAGGAGCTGCTGGCACAGGGTCTGGGCACCTTTGGGTGTGAGACACTGGGGATGAGCTTGGGCTGGCATTCCAGAGGCAGTTTGTCATGCACTCTTCCCAGTTTCATGACTCTCCCAAATCTTAGAGCTGGAAAAATGGTTTGTAGCAGCCATTGTTCTCTGCAAACAGATTTCCAGTGCTGTCCTAAAGCCAGGTGTGCTGAATTTCAGGTCTGTCTTAGAAAATAAGTGTTCATGGTTCCAAACAGTTCCAGTTGGTCCTTGATACTAACAATCACTTGAAATAAAATCTGTGTTAGAAATAAAATGTGTAATAGAACTTTGTGCTGTCTGACAGCCTCTGTGGGTTCTGTACATTTGCACTGCTCAGGGACTGTGGAAGCTGTGTTGAAGTTATTTTGAAGTTATTTTCCCTCTCTCCTCCCCAGGAAAAGAAGCTGATGGAGGATAGGATTGCTGAGTGCTCTTCTCAGCTGGCTGAAGAAGAAGAAAAAGCCAAAAACTTGGCCAAGCTGAAGAACAAGCAGGAGATGATGATCACTGATTTGGAAGGTCTGGAATGGCCTGGGGGCAGCCAGGGGGGATGGATCCCCTGGACAGGGTCTGCTCCCCTGAGCTGGGCAGAGCCACAGCTGCTGCTCCTGGGGGAAATCTGTGTCCCTGCCTGCTCAGTCTCTCTCCTGCTCAACTCGTCAGGGTTTCAGCTTTGAGGATCCATGTCCTTTGTAGACACACAGGAATTCCTGCTCTTGCCTGTGTCCATTAGCACCAAGGGAAAACATCCTGGCTCCTGGAAGCTTCTCCCACTTCCCTCTCACACCAGAGCAGTGTGTTCCTGCAGGAATGGCAGCAGGCACTCCTTAGGCTTCCAGGGTTGTGTTTCAATAAGCAAATCTCAATTGTTTTGCTTTTCTTAATATTTATCTTCATTATATTTAGAGATATATTTTATTTTATAGTGTTTTATTTTATTGAGCAGCCTGCCCTGGTGGAAGGTGTCCTGCCCAAGGAATGATCTGAGCTTTAAGGTCTCCTACGACCCAAACCATTCCATGATTCCACCTAAAATGGTTCCATTCCTTTAGCCATTTATTCCTGGTTGTTTTGCCAGTGTTGTCACAAGTTCAACCTGCCCCATATGCAACCCTTCTTGATTTTGTGCTGTTTTATTTTAATTACTATAGATACTGCACAACATTAATGAGCTGCCAAGTCAAAGTTGCAAAATAACAGAGAAAATTGTTCTCTGAGCCCTAATTTGGGAATGGTTCTTGCACTTGGAGTGTTGGGGCCTGTCTTGGTGCATATTTTGAGGCTGATGTGCTTCTGGAAGGAGGTCAGAGCTTTACCTTATCTGTGCAGGCAGGTGTTGAGCTGACAGGGGGAGCAGTGATTGATGAGCCTTGTCTTTAACTGTTGCATCCAGAGACTTAAAGGTGGGTCTAAGTAAGCTTTACTCACTGGAAAATAATGCTGGAGTAGCTCTGTGCTTAAATCAGGACTAGGAACTTGACAGATGTGTTTGGTTACAGAGCCAGTCCAAGACTGATGGCCTTAGAAGGGGAAATTAAAGCTTATATTTAAGGCATGCAATTTCTTGGCTAGGAAAGCAGAGTAAAATGATATTTACTCTTGGAGATGACTCAAGAAGCCATTAATGTCTCTCTGCTAGAGTCTTGGCACTGCTAGGCACTGATATTTGGGGAAAAAAAATTAATTCAGTTTGCTGGGAACTCTCTCAATTACAAAATTGAGTCTTGTGACACTGCTGTCAGTGTCACTCACCAGGAACTTCATGTAAAAACAGAGGGGAAAGCACAAATCTTTGGGAATGTGAAACTGCTTGGAGAAAACTGCAGAGTTACCTCAGGTTGTCTGCAAAACCCCAAACAGCCCAGGGTGGCCCTGAGGTGGTTCCTGAGCAGGGCTCCCTTTCCATCCTGTCCAGAGGGAGCTTTGGGAGGGGTGTGAGGGGAATCTGCACTGAGGAGCCACAAGGGATTGAACAAGGGAATGAGCTCCTGCTGTCCCTCAGAATTGTACATTTGTGCCATTGATGCCCTTAGAACTGGGCTGAGGCTGTGAATATAATATAATATAATATAATATAATATAATATAATATAATATAATATAATATAATATAATATAATATATACAATATAATATATACAATATAATATATACAATATAATATAATATAATATATACAATATAATATAATATATACAATATAATATATACAATATAATATAATATATAATACAATATAATATAATATATAATACAATATAATACTATAATATTAATGCTGTACTAAAACTATACTAAAGAAAGAGAAAGGATACATCAGAAGGCTGAACAAGAATGAATTAGTAAAAACTCATGACTGACTCTTCAGAATCTGACACAGCTGATGGTGATTGGTCATTAGGTAAAAACAATTCACAGGAAACCAATCAAACGTGCACCTGTTGGTAAACAATGTCCAGACCACATTCCAAAGCAGCCAAACACAGGAGAAGCAATCAGATAATTATTATTTACATTTTTCTCTTCTCAGCTTCCCAGGGGAAGAAATCCTGCAAAGGGATTTTTCAGAAAATGGGAAAGGGATTTTTCAGTGACAGCTGAGGTTGCTGTGCCCTGCTGGGGGTGCCTGTCCCAAAATGCTCCTCAGGGCTGAGTGCCCCAGCTGCTCCATAAATCCCTGGGAGGGAGGGAGCTCTCAGGGCTGCAGGGTTTTGCTAAACACTGATGGGGTGTGATTAAACTGCACAGACTCTTGTAAAATGGTTTATTCCAGTTTACTTTAAGCTATGCCATTTTCCAGCAGATTTCTAGAGTCTGGCCTGGCCCTCCCAAAGCCATGCAATTGTTCCAGCCCACAGTTTATCTTCTTTTTTGGGTGCTGATGTCTGGGATTATCTGGCCTAACAGCTCAAGCTGCTCTGTCAGATCCCACTCCTTATTTTCTACCAAGATGTTTCTGTTGCCTCATCTCAAACTATTCACAGTTGTCAGAGACTTTCCCTGACTTTCTGACTAAGCCATGCAGTTCTCCTTTGCTATTTCATTTTTCTGCAGGCTGGAGGAAGAACTGAGGCAGCATAAATTAAACTTCCCACCCTTCCTGCCACCCCAGAGTCCCTGAGGGTGACAAGAGGGACAATTCCACAGGAATTTAATTCTGTGCTTCCTCTAGAACGCCTGAAAAAGGAGGAGAAGACCCGCCAGGAGCTGGAAAAAGCTAAAAGAAAACTGGATGGGGAAACTACAGACCTGCAGGACCAAATAGCTGAGCTGCAAGCGCAGATTGAGGAGCTGAAGATCCAGCTGGCCAAGAAGGAGGAGGAGCTGCAGGCTGCTGTGGCCAGGTCAGAGTGGGCCAAAGCTGCTCCCACAAATTGAATTTCCCCTGGCCACAGTCAGGGCTGGGATCCTGCAACAGCAGCCAGCCCTGGAGCCCTGTGCTGAGCACAGAAATGGAAAATGTACAGAGAGTCAGGGATCCCTCAGCATCTTGGCTCTGCAAACGTGTACAAAGGAGAAGTTTCATGTGGTGTAACAGTGTTTGGGCTCTGGAAGCTTTTTTAATCTCCCAAATTCGGCCTCAGGAGGGAAAAATGTGTATTTCTCAGTGGGTATAAACAAAGTGCTGGGCAGCACGGACTTTATCTGGGTTTGTGTGATACTCCTGCAGTCCCATGTTGTGCTGAACACCACCTGGAGTTTTTAAGTATAATTTTGCAGGAAGAGAAAATTTTACAGATGGAACATTTCTGGGGCAGTGTTGAGATCTACAGAATTGGAATACCTGACTGTAAAGTAAAGCTTGACAATCCTGGTGGTGCACCTTGGTTTCATCTGTGGTACCTTTCATCCATCCCTGCAGGTGTCCAGGCTGGACAGGGCTTGGAGCAACCTGGGATGGTGGAAGGTGTCCCAGCCCATGAAGGGTGGGAGTCTGAGATGTTTAAAGCTCCAAGCCAGCCATTCTATAAATGTTGATATTTATTTTGTTCCAGTGGCAGAGTTCAGCTGTGTTTGTAGCTCATTTAAGCAGGAGGGTCTGAGGAGGTGCAGCCCCAGTAAGTGTGGTGCCTGTTTGACAGGGGGGATGAGGAGGCAGTGCAGAAGAACAATGCCCTGAAGGTGATCAGGGAGCTGCAGGCTCAGATTGCAGAGCTCCAGGAGGATCTGGAGTCTGAGAAGGCGTCGAGGAACAAGGCAGAAAAGCAGAAAAGGGATCTGAGTGAAGAGCTGGAGGCCTTGAAAACTGAACTGGAAGATACTTTGGACACCACTGCAGCACAGCAAGAGCTGAGGTAGGGTCATGGTCTGTGTAAGAAAGCAGCACTGAAATTCAGCTGTGATTTATAAAAGCTGAAATGCTGATTCTTGGGTGACCCTTTGTGCTTCCTCCAGGACAAAGAGAGAGCAGGAGGTGGCTGAACTGAAGAAAGCAATTGAGGAGGAAACCAAAAACCACGAAGCCCAGATCCAGGAGATCAGGCAGAGGCATGCCACTGCCCTGGAGGAGCTCTCTGAGCAGCTTGAACAGGCCAAAAGGGTGAGAGGAAAAGGAGCTTTGTGCTTCAGGGGTTGTTACAATTACCATGGGCAGCATGGTTCCTTCCAGGAGACCTGAGCTGAGCTTTCCATCACCACAGAGCTCAGCTGGCCTCTAAAAATCCACCCCAGCTGCTGAGATTTCTCATGTTGGTTTGACAATGTCCTCAGGGCTGTGTGACCAGCAGCAGGAGGCACAGGTGGATCACAGCTCCTGGTCTTGTTCAGAAGGAGAATTATTCCAAAAAAAAGAAGTGTCTGGTTTTTGAAATTACACCTGGGGTCATTCACAATTGTGTGTGTGGGAAGTTCCTATCCTGTGGTGATGTTTTCATGTACTGTGAATACTGCACAAGCTTCCTTAGTATTCTAAATTAAGTGACAAATGTAGCAGTTAAACTATGATTTTCACCAGCTTTATTCACCTGAAAATCTTCTGCATGTCTTCTGCTCCTTATTCAATAAATACCTTCAATAAGAGCATGAAAAGATGGAAAAATACCCTGCAATCTGAAACAAAGCTCCTGTGACAAGATGGTGTCAGCTCTGGGGATGTGGCAGAAATGACACCTAAACATCCCTGGTGCCAGGGATTGCTTTGGGAAAGGCTTCTGACAAATGTCAGTGCAGTGCTGAGAATTGCTTTGTTCTGCACTTCCAGGCTGCTCTGCCCACTCAAATCAGGGCAGCCTTGGTTCATATCTTCCCTTTATTTCTGTGAGATGAGCCATGCTGAGCTGTTAATGGGCACATTCCTTCCTCCTTGCAGTGCTACCAAAACAGTCATTTCCAGGGCTGCCATCCCAGTCCTGCCCTGCTGCTCCTCACCCTCACCTGGGGCAGAGCAGCCTGGGTTCCCCAGCCTTTGCTGGCACCCAGAATGTTCCACAGCTTTGGAAAACAGATCTGCACAATCGTCTGTAGCTGGAAACAGTCACCTGCACCACAGAGCTGAACTTCTGCCCTTTTGTCTTCCCCAGTTCAAAGCAAACCTTGAAAAGAACAAGCAAGGCTTGGAGTCTGACAACAAGGAGCTGGCCTGTGAGGTGAAGGTGCTGCAGCAGGTCAAGGCAGAGTCTGAGCACAAGAGGAAGAAGCTCGATGCTCAGGTGCAGGAGCTGACTGCAAAGGTGTCAGAAGGGGAGAGGCTCAGGGTGGAGCTGGCTGAGAAGGCAAATAAGCTGCAGGTAAGGCTCTGGAAATGCTAAAATCCTGGAAAACCATGTGCAGAAATGGCCTGGTGTGGGAGGTGAACTCAGCAAGGTCTCTCATGGACCTGGGAGGCCTCAAAGGGCTGCTCTGACATCAGTCCTAAACTGTGTGACATCAGTCCTGGACTGTGTGACATCAGTCCTGGGCAGTGTGACATCAGTCCTGAACTGTGTGACATCAGTCCTGGTCTGTGTGACATCAGTTCCTGGTCTATGTGACATCAGTCCTGGGCTGTGTGACATCAGTCCTGGGCTGTGACATCAGTCCTGGTCTGTGTGACATCAGTCCTGAACTGTGTGACATCAATCCTGGGCTGTGTGACATCAGTCCTTAACTGTGTGACATCAGTCCTGGGCTGTGTGACATCAGTCCTAAACTGTGTGACATCGGTCCTAAACTGTGTGATATCAGTCCTGGGCAGTGTGACATCAGTTCCTGGTCTATGTGACATCAGTCCTGGGCTGTGTGACATCAGTCCTGAACTGTGTGACATCAATCCTGGGCAGTGACACATCAATCCTGAACTGTGTGACATCAATCCTGAACTGTGTGACATCAATCCTGGGCTGTGTGAGAGTTGCAGTGGCCTTGGAGGGTTTGCCTTGGCTGGGAACTGAGCAGCTTGGGCTCAGCTTTTCCATAGGGATGACCAAAACTTGGTGTTGGCCTCGGGTTGGGTTTGGTGCTCCAGGCTGGGAGCCTGGCAGGGAGGGGGTGCAAGCACAGCCCCATTCTTGTGGGAAATGGAGCAAAGGGGCAAAATGCAGCCATGGATGACTCTGAGCCCAGCAATGAGGGCTTCAGGTCAATGCAGGGGAGCAGGGAACGGCCCAGCTCTCTGGGGGAAGCTTTCAGGCTGTCTCTCAGGGTATATGAAAGCAGTGTACCCCAAAATAATGAGCTGGCACCTGGCAGTGCCCTTTTCTCTTGCAGTGATGCTTCAGACCCAGCTGCCACCCTGATGATCCCTGAATTAATGCTTGCATGAAATATCTGGTCCTGGAATTAAAAATGGCATGAAAGTGTGAATGCAGGGCTCAGAGCAAAGTGCTGAATATCAGAGCTCAGTAGCCTGGCTCTGGTTTTGGTACTGCACTTCAGGACTGACATTCAGTTCCCTTTTCTGTGGCCAGACCTCAGTGGTTTGAGCTTTGTGCCTCCCTCTCTTGGGCTCTGTGCCTGGAGTTTGCTGGGGTTCTGTGCTGTGCTCCCAGTGGGGTTTGGGCTGAGCCCTCACCTCTGTGCTGCTTGCCTTGCAGAATGAGCTGGACAATGTCTCCAGTCTGCTGGAGGAGGCAGAGAAGAAAGGGATCAAGTTTGCCAAGGATGCAGCCAGCCTGGAATCCCAGCTCCAGGATACACAGGTGTGTGTGCAGCAGAGCTGGGCTGGCCATGGAGCTCTGCTCCTCAGGGAGGTGCTGCTGCTGACAGAAAACACATTTTCATTCATGCTTTGGGAAGTCCCCTGGGCAGAAGCTGAATTTCCTGTTCAGCCCAGGGAAATGGGATGGACTGGGATGGCTCAGCCACGTGGGGAACCAAGTTTTCATTATCTGAGCTTCGCTTCCTGAGAGTTGGTGGTTCTGGTTTATGTCTTTGTCTCTGAGGGAGATAAGAATCAAATAAAAACCCCTTTCCAGGCAGAATTTAATGTCAATATCCTTGGGATATATGAGGAACAACAGTCTTCTGCTGACAGCTTCAAATTCTTACAGCTCAAGTTCAAACTGTCATGTTTTGGTTCTTAATTAAGAAAATGCAGCTTTCTGCAGATATTCATCACTTCAATATATTTTACCTTGCCTGTATTAAAGTTCTAATGGTGGCCACTTAACTGGGTAATGTTAACCTCAACTGGAGGGGTTTCTAGGGAGCAGGATGTGGGTTACCCCTTCCATTACTTTGTTATGACAGAAGTTGCCACCTTTAAGGTGACCTTTATATTTAAACAATGCAGAAAACCTGGAAGCGTGCTGCCATTGCAGGATTCATTGCTCCATGTTCTTCCCAGGTGGTTTTTAATAGGTGCTCTGTGCTTATCTGAAAAAAGAAAAAATACATTTTGGAGGTGACTTCTGGGCTAGTCCCTTGAAAGATGGGAAAGTATCATCCCTTAATTTCTGGAACAGACTCTGGCAGGGGTTCCCTGACCAGAAATCTGCTTTATGAAGGTTTAAGTGTGCCCAAAATGAATGGTCAGTGGCCTTTTGAGAACCCAAACAACAGATGTCTTCATAAAGCATGTCCTTGTCCCCAAATCTGAGGGAAGCTAAACCTGGGGGTCCCCCTGTGGGGGTTTGGGAGCACACTCAGCCCTGCCCCTGCTGTGTCCCAGGAGCTGCTCCAGGAGGAGACCCGCCAGAAGCTCAACCTCAGCAGCAGGATCAGGCAGCTGGAGGAGGAGAAGAACAACCTGCAGGAGCAGCAGGAGGAGGAGGAGGAGGCCAGGAAGAACCTGGAGAAGCAGATGCTGGCCCTGCAGGCCCAGGTAGGCTGCTGGGAGTGGCAGCCCCTGTGTGAGGAGCTGTCCCAAGCTGTGTCCCAGAGCTTTGGGGGACACATCCTGGCACTTCCACGGTGCTGGAACAGATTTTGGAGCCAGGTTCCCACTGCAGTAATTATTCTGTGTGCCCTGACCTGTGATGGGCAGGGCTGGGGCCTCTGAGAGCCTGGGAACTGCCAGGTTTGTGTTCCCTTAGCTTGCAGGAGCTGCTCCTGCTGCTGCACTCTGCCCCTGTGCTCCCTCTGGGGATGCTCTGAGGGACTCCACTCGCTCTTGTTGAATTCCAGTTGGCCGAGGCCAAGAAGAAGGTGGATGATGACTTGGGAACCATTGAGGGGCTGGAGGAGACCAAGAAGAAGCTGCTGAAGGACATGGAGTCCCTGAGCCAGCGCCTGGAGGAGAAGGCTCTGGCCTATGACAAGCTGGAGAAGACCAAGAACCGCCTGCAGCAGGAGCTGGATGACCTGATGGTGGACCTGGACCACCAGCGCCAGATCGTCTCCAACCTGGAGAAGAAGCAGAAGAAGTTTGATCAGGTACTGCAGCCTCCTGCCACCTGCCTGGCTTTCAGGGTTTTTCAATGGCACCTCGTTATTGCTGCTGAGCCTTGTGGGAAGGAGGGCCTGGCTGCTGTGCTTGGTTATTGGTAAATCTGTGAGCAGCTGGCCTTTGCTAGGAGCAGCCTGTCACCCCCAGTTCTGTGAGCCAAATGCCGTCCCTGAGGCTTGCTAGAGCAAGTGATCAGCTCTTCATGCAGGAAAAGAGAATTATGCTGAACAAAACCTTTAGAGTTTTATTGCAGTCCCTCAAGGTAGACTAAAAAAGGATCTGATAGATGGGAATGGTATGAAACTGGAGTCTTGATGAGTGGCTTGCTTTCCTCCTCTCATCCCAGAGCAGCTGTAGCTGTTCCCTTACTGGCACTTTGATCTCAGCTCCTGAGGGCCAGTTAAACTCAGGGCATGAACCTATTCTTGGGTAAAACACCTGGGGCAGGGAGGACCTGGCTGTGGAGCTCAGGAGATGGATTCATTGTTTCTCATGTCCAGATGCTGGCAGAAGAAAAGAACATTTCTGCCAGGTATGCAGAGGAGCGGGACCGTGCTGAGGCAGAGGCCAGGGAGAAGGAAACCAAGGCCCTGTCCCTGGCCAGGGCCCTGGAGGAGGCCCTGGAAGCCAAGGAGGAATTTGAGAGGCAGAACAAGCAGCTGCGTGCAGATATGGAAGACTTGATGAGCTCCAAAGATGATGTGGGCAAAAATGTGAGTATGGCTCCACAGGCTGTGGAATAGCAGGGAAATCTCCCTGCTGGAGAAGGGGCTGTGTGCTGCTGTTCACAGGGGTACCAGGACAAAGGAAGAGGGGAGAGTCTTGACTCCATGTTTCACAAGGCTGATTTATTATTTTATGATATATACATTATATTACAACTATACTAAAAGAATAGAAGAAAGGATTTCATCAGAAGGCTTGAAAGGAAAGGAAAAGAATGATAATAAAATCTTGTGTCTGACCAGAGAGTCCGAGCCAGCTGGGCTGTGATTGGCCATTAATTAGAAACAACCACATGAGCCCAATCCCAGATGCACCTGTTGCATTCCACAGCAGCAGATAACCATTGGTTCCATTTTGTTTTTGAGGCCTCTCAGCTTCTCAGGAGGAAAAATCCTGGCAAAAGGAGTTTTCATAAAGTATCATGGCTCCATGGCTGTGCATGCACCAGAGCAGAGCTTTCTGCAGCTCACCCAGAATGCAGGAGGAATTAATGCCCACATAATTGTTAACATCTTCCAAAGCTGTATTCTCACCCTCATGGAGACCCCAGATACCAGTTTTGTACTTTTGGGTCAGTGGGCTGGAACTGCAGTCAGCCAGAGCTGGTTTTGTGTGGCAGCTGTGACAGATCAGGGCAGCCACTCCCCATTTTTGTGTTGCTGGGTGTATTTACTGTGTGTAAATGAGGGATAATGGGGATTTCTGTTGCCTTTGGTCAAGCTGAGTTGCAGGACATGTTGGACCAAAGGCAGAGCAGAGCTGTGCCCCCTCAGTGTCCTCCCCCCTGCTCCCAGCTGAGGCAAAGGGCCCAGGGGCAGCCCCTGCCCTCCCTGCTCTGAGCTGCTGCTGGGGGAGCCCTGAGGACAGCTCTGAGCAGAGTTTGTGCTGCAGGTCCACGAGCTGGAGAAGTCCAAGAGAACCCTGGAGCAGCAGGTGGAGGAGATGAGGACTCAGCTGGAGGAGCTGGAGGATGAACTGCAGGCCACAGAAGATGCCAAGCTCCGTCTGGAGGTGAACATGCAGGCCATGAAGGCCCAGTTTGACAGAGATCTGCAAGCCAGAGATGAGCAGAACGAGGAGAAGAAGAGGATGCTGGTGAAACAAGTACGTGTGTTCTACTCTGTGTTGTAGGCAGGAGGGGAGGAAGGGCTTTGAGCACAATTCTGGGCCTCTGTGCTTCCAGAAAAATAAACCCCTTTGCTTAAAGACTCCATCCAGTGGAAACCCCAAACCACAGCATTTTTACAAACCATAAATAGTTCTGGCTGGGGGTGCCCACTGTCCCCAGGCAGGCTCAGGTGGTGCTGGTGGCCTCCAAAGCCACTCCAGGAGTTTGGTTGTTGCTGCCTGAGTGTGTTCCAGGACAGGGATACCTCAGCTGCATTTTCAAACCCATCCTATTTGATGTCCAGGAACAAATCCACTGATGCTGAGATAGATTTTTAACAGTTTCCTAAATGCAAATCATGGCAGAGCTTCCAAGTTTCCAGACTTGAGAATTCTGGGAACACAGAAATCAGAAAAGCCTCAAGAAATGCCTTTAGGGGACAAAGTTGCTGTTATCTGAACTGGACAAGAGCTCCTGCCCTTGCACTGGGAGGGAGATTTGCTTCAGAACAGAATATTCTTTCATGCTGGTAACCTGTGGCACCTGTGGCATTTCTGGCTCAGTTTGCTTTTGCATAGGTTTGGCTCAGCCCGTGGTGCCTGGCTGCTCACACACTCTTGTTTTGTTTTATTTTGGGAAGAGAAGTTGTTGGTGTATAAGTGCCAGTAACAGGCTGTTCAAAGGGAATGGCTTCATTGTTGTCTAGGGACAATGAGGTGATTCTATTTCTTATTTTGCATCAGAGTTAGCTCCATCTGCCCTGGAGCCATCCCTGGGGTGGATGGCAGGGGTGGGCAGGAGGCTGAGATGGAACCGCTCCAGAAGCTGGGTCCCTTCCTGGGATTTCCCTTGTGCTCAGTGCACAGATCTCTGATCCATTGGGGGCCTGCCTTGCCCTGTGCCCTCCCCTGGGTGCCCTGGGTGCCAGCCTGGCCCTGTCTGGTGCTGATGCTGGCGCTGTCCCCGTGCCAGGTGCGGGAGCTGGAGGCAGAGCTGGAGGACGAGCGCAAGCAGCGCGCCCTGGCCGTGGCAGCCAAGAAGAAACTGGAGATGGACCTGAAGGACCTGGAGGGGCAGATTGAGGCTGCAAACAAGGCTCGGGATGAAGCCATCAAACAGCTCAGGAAGCTCCAGGTAGGCACAGCTGCTCAGGGAGCTGGGGGCTGCCCAGGGGCTGCTGCCATTCAGTGCAGCTGCAGCTGAGGCCAGGAGGAGAAGCAGACTCCACTGATGGGTCTGAGAGTGCCCAACCTGGATTTATCCTCTAGGCAAAACTCATCCCTTTATAGAATCACAGGATGGTTTGGGTTGGAAAAGACCCTGAAGCTAATCTTGTTCCAAACTCCCCTGCCACAAAACCACCTTCCACATCCCTGGCAGTGCCCAAGGCCAGGCTGGACAGGGCTTGGAGCAACCTGAGCTAGTGGAAGGTGTCCTTGCCATGGCAAGGGTGGCACTTGATGATAATTAAGGGCCCTTCCAGCTCAGGTCATTCTAAGATTCCACTCTATAATTCAGTGGACTGCTTGAAGTCTTGGAATGTGACATTTCTGACCAGGCATTGAGGGGTGGAAAGATGAGAAAATGGAATTTTAGAATACAGAAGAACTGGAAGTGCCTCTCAGTGGAATGAAGCCACTTTGGGAGAACAGCCTTATCTCTTAGAGGCTGAAATGCCCAGAGCTGGAATGGATCTTGTGATTGTCCTGGTGCAGCCTGGCTGTGCCTCACCCTGCTCTCCACCTGCAGGCTCAGATGAAGGACTACCAGCGGGAGCTGGAGGAGGCCCGAGCATCCAGGGATGAGATCTTTGCCCAGTCCAAAGAGAGTGAGAAGAAGCTCAAAAGTCTTGAAGCAGAAATACTCCAGCTCCAAGAGGTGAGGTGGAAATCCAAGAGATTTTTCTTGTCCCTGTGCCTCTCCCGTCTGCTTCAGCTGCAGGGCAAGGCTTGCAGCAGTTGCCCAGACTCACCACACTTCCCTTGGAGCCTTCACAGATAACCTGGCACTGCCTGGAGCTTCTCCAGGTGGACTAGGGTGGCCTTCAGACCTCAGCGTGGCACTTGCAGAGCATTTCATGTCCTTAAGAAATGCCTGAGTGTTTCTGCCACTTAAAGCAGATGTATAATCTGAGGTTCAGTGCTGTGTGCGCTGTTGTGCTGAAGCTTTTTAATTTTTATTCTCTTCTTGTCTTCATGCTGAGAACTCTGTGAGAACCTAAAACATTTGCTTAATTTAGGACCTACTTTACACTGACTGTATCTATGAGAGCATGGGGCACAGTGGTTTCTCCTGTTGCTGAGGGTTTGGGAGTTACTGATCTTCACAGATTTTTTTCCCCTTTGCTTTGGGTGGGGAACATTTCAGGGGCAGGGAGAAGTCCCAGGGCAGTGAGGGAGCATCCACCTGACGTGTTCTGCTGCCTTATCCATCAAACCCCGGGGATATCCCAGGTCACAGCATCTCCCAGGGGCTGTTGGAGGCTGTGTCCCAGAGGCTGGGGGGCTCCTGGGGCTGCCCTGACTCTTTCCCCCCGGCAGGAGTTTGCGGCGTCGGAGCGCGCGCGGCGGCACGCGGAGCAGGAGCGCGACGAGCTGGCGGACGAGATCGCCAACAGCGCCTCTGGGAAGTGAGTCAGGCTGGGCTGGGGCAGGGATGGGCCTGAGCTGGGCCAGGATGGAGCTCAAGGAAAGGTCCCTCCCCCAGAGGGTGCCAGGCACTGCCCAGGCTCCCCAGAGAACGGCCCCGAGGCTGCCAGAGCTCCAGGAGCGTTTGTGCTGCCAGGGTGGGAGCGTTGGGGCGTCTGTGCAGGGACAGGAGCTGGATCCCTGTGGGTCCCTTCCAGCTCAGGAGATGCCCTGATGCTAAGTGACCTCCCCAGGAGCTCTGCTGGCTCTGGACACCCCTGACCCCTTCCCCTGTGCAGGTCAGCCCTGCTGGACGAGAAGCGGCGGCTGGAGGCTCGGATTGCCCAGCTGGAGGAGGAGCTGGAGGAGGAGCAGAGCAACATGGAGCTGCTCAACGAGCGCTTCCGAAAGACCACGCTGCAGGTGAGCCCAGGGCAGCTGCTGCTGGCTGTGACGTGCACAGAGTGACCCCTGGCCCTCCCTGTGACCGTGTTCACAGGGGTTGTAGGATGAGGGAAGAGACGAGGATCTGACTCCATGTTTCACAAGGCTGATTTATTGTTTTGTGATATATATTATATTAAAACTATACTAAAAGAGTAGAAGAAAGGATTTCATCAGAAGGCTGGCTAAGAATAGAAAAAGGAAAGAAAGAAAACAAAAGCTTGTGTCTCGGACAGAGAGTCTGAGCCAGCTGGGCTGTGATTGGCCATTAATTAGAAACAACCACATGAGCCCAATCCCAGCTGCACCTGTTGCATTCCACAGCAGCAGATAACCATTGGGTACATTTTGTTCCTGAGGCCTCTCGGCTTCTCAGGAGACAAAATCTTAAGGGAAGGATTTTCAGACAATGTGTCTGTGGCACCTCCCTGCAGGTGGACACGCTCAACTCGGAGCTGGCCGGCGAGCGCAGCGCGGCCCAGAAGAGCGAGAACGCGCGGCAGCAGCTGGAGAGGCAGAACAAGGAGCTCAAGGCCAAGCTGCAGGAGCTGGAGGGCTCTGTCAAGTCCAAATTCAAGGCAACAATTTCTACTCTAGAAGCCAAGATTGCACAGCTTGAAGAACAGCTCGAGCAGGAAGCCAAGTAAGGGGAAAAGACCTGGTTGCCTGTGTGGGTTGAATGGCTGAAGTTCCATGGATGTTTCTGAAGGGCCTTGGGTGTAATGTCTGGAGACTCCTGTTCAGGGGATAAACTTTAACAAGGCAGCTGTAGAGTAACTGGGGCTGGGAGTTCCAGAATGGATTTGCTTCCTGCCAGCTGCATGAACTCTGTAAGGTGTTGATGTCCCAGAGCCACAAGGAGCTGCAGGAGTTTCCTGGGACAAGGTGAAATGTTCCCTGGGTGCTTGGTTAGAGGAACAGCTTATGTGGGACATCCTGTGCTCTCCAGAAGTGTTTCTGCAGTGAATTATCCATCTATCTTTGCAATCCTATTCTTAAAATTCACTTCTTTAGCTGGTTCCTCCCCGTTTGCAGGTGGGGCTTGTCCTACCACCACCTCTGTCCTTTCTGTGCTCTGGGCTCTGCAGCAGGATTGTGTTAGTGCTTAAACAGCAACTTTAAAGCTGCTCTGTCCAATCTCCTTGTGAAGGCACCCTCTGAGTCCTCTTTGTGCCATGCTCACATTGCCCCAGGGCTAAGGCTTTGTGCTCTGAGAGCTGCATCCCTTTATCCCTCTAGCCTTGTATCCCTGCATCCCTTCATGCTTGCATCCCTGTACTCCTGCATCCTTGCATCCCTGCATTCCTGCATCCCTACATCTCTGCATCCCTGTATCCCTACATTCCTGCATCCCTGCATCCCTTCATCCCTGCATCCCAGCCAGCCCCAGCACATGCAGCAGTTGCATTGCTGTGTCTGGCATGTTCAGAGCTCTGTACCAGTTACACTTTAGGGGGGCAGATCAGGTGCTCCCAGCCCTTGGGCAGTGGCACCAGCGCTGGTTTTGGGCTGTTGCAGGGAAAGGGCAGCTGCCAACAAGCTGGTGAGGCGCACGGAGAAGAAGCTGAAGGAGGTGTTCATGCAGGTGGAGGACGAGCGGCGCCACGCGGACCAGTACAAGGAGCAGGTGGGTGGGGGCTCAGTGAAACCTCCTGGGGTGGGAAGGGCTGGTGAAGAGGAACTGTAATGGACAGGGAATTAGAGGGGTGATTAAACCAGCAGGGAGTGTGTGTGTGTGTGTGTGTGTGTGTGTGTGTGAGCTCTGCTGGGACGGGCTCTCCCAGGCTCTGTGGTGTTCTAGGGTCCAGGCTGGAGCCTGCACAAGGCTGTGCTGGATCCCCAGTGAGGGCTGTGCTGGATCCCCAGTGAGGGCTGTGCTGGATCCCCAGTGAGGGCTGTGCTCCATCCCCAGTGAGGGCTGTGCTGCATCCCCAGTGAGGGCTGTGCTGCATCCCCAGTGAGGGCTGTGCTCCATCCCCAGTGAGGGCTGTGCTCCATCCCCAGTGAGGGCTGTGTTCCATCCCCAGTGAGGGCTGTGCTCCATCCCCAGTGAGGGCTGTGTTCCATCCCCAGTCAGGGCTCTGTGAGGGCTGTGCTGCATCCCCAGTGAGGGCTGTGCTGCATCCCCAGTGAGGGCTGTGCTCCATCCCCAGTGAGGGCTGTGCTCCATCCCCAGTCAGGGCTGTGCTGGATCCCCAGTGAGGGCTGTGCTCCATCTCCAGTGAGGGCTGTGCTGGATCCCCAGTGAGGGCTGTGCTGGATCCCCAGTGAGGGCTGTGCTGGATCCCCAGTGAGGGCTGTGCTGGATCCCCAGTGAGGGCTGTGCTGCGTCCCCAGTGAGGGCTGTGCTGCATCCCCAGTGAGGGCTGTGCTGGATCCCCAGTGAGGGCTGTGCTGCATCCCCAGTGAGGGCTGTGCTGGATCCCCAGTGAGGGCTGTGCTCCATCCCCAGTGAGGGCTGTGCTCCATCCCCAGTCAGGGCTGTGCTCCATCCCCAGTGAGGGCTGTGCTCCATCCCCAGTCCAGCTGCAGCTCTGGGGTGACCCTGAGTGCTGGTTTGGTTGCAGATGGAGAAGGCCAATGCCAGGATGAAGCAGCTGAAGCGGCAGCTGGAGGAGGCAGAGGAGGAGGCCACGCGCGCCAACGCCTCGCGGCGCAAGCTGCAGCGCGAGCTGGACGATGCCACGGAGGCCAACGAGGGGCTGAGCAGGGAGGTCAGCACCCTCAAAAACAGGCTAAGGTCAGTGCCCCTGGAACCCTGGGACTGGGATTGACCTGAGCCCACAGAGACCCCGGGGCACATCCAGCTGGGGAGCTGCTGGGGTTAGGGGATGGCTCAAATGGGAGCCTGGCGATGAGAACAAGGATATTCCATGGGGATACTCCTGACAGCTGCAGGGATGGACGGGATATCGGGAAGGAGTCCTTCCCTGGCAGAGTGCCCAGAGCAGCTGGGGCTGCCCCTGCATCCCTGGCACTGCCCAAGGCCAGGCTGGACAGAACCTGGAGCGGCCTGGGACGGTGGGAGGTGTCCCTGGGACAGGGGAAGGTGTCCCTGGGACAGGGGAAGGTGTCCCTGCCTTGGCAGGGGTGGGATGGGCTGAGCTTTGAGATGCCCCCAGCCCAGCCCAGCCCCTGCCGTGCTCCTGGGCGGGCCTGGGCGCTGCAGGAGCCTCTCCCAGCGCTGCTCTCCGTTCGCAGGAGGGGGGGACCCATCACCTTCTCCTCGAGCCGCTCGGGCCGGCGGCAGCTGCACATCGAGGGCGCCTCGCTGGAGCTGTCGGACGACGACGCCGAGAGCAAAGGCAGCGACGTGAACGAGGCTCCGCCAGCCCCCGCCGAGTAGCCCCGGCCCCGCCTGCATGCAGAGACCTTTCCAGCCCCGCAGGAGCGCCCCGCAGGAGCGCCCTGCCCTGCCCTCGGAACTGCCTTGTGGCCGGAAAGCTGCCTTACGACCCTCGGCATGTGCTACAAGGTTCCTTATCATAGGTCAACCATGTCTTAAGGCTCTCCAGCCTCACCACACTGTACCCTGCTTCAGATATAGGTACAACTGCTTTTTTTATATATAGTAAACAACCGGGATCGTCTCTGTTCAGTGCATCTCTTTTCCAGATACTCATTGTAAAGCCATTTTATAAAGCATCATGTGAAGGATGAAACTTTTTTTTATCAATCCAGAAGCGTCATTCCCAGCGGGTGGGGGGCCAGGACAGACCCCTTGCCGTGGCTGTGCATGCCTTGTGTCCAGCAGCATCCTTCAGGCTCCGGGCTGGCCGCAGCCTCTCGGATCAGTGAAGACCAAACCGCTCCCGTTTCTTTCTTTTCTCCCAATTGTTGTGATCCGCACACGACCCCTGAGTGAACTGTGAAAAACGGCCTTGGGAAGTGTTAGAGGGAAGTGTAGGGATGAGTGAGTAGTGTCCGTTTTTATCCTGCAATCCCATTTGAAGTGTTCTCAGCTCCATCCGTTCGTGTCCATGCAGTCCAGGCACACCGAGGTGGGTCCCGTCCCCGCACAGCCCAGAGCCCCGCAGCCGCCCGGGCTGGGACAATGTGAACACCAGTGGGAAATAAACACACAGCACAGGCACAACTAATTTATTAATGTGAGGCCGAGCCAGGCCCTGGGAGGCCCCGGGTCCTGTGGGGCCGGGGCTCCCGCCCTGGATGGATGGATGTTGCCTGCCTACAGTTAACATGCCAGTGGATGTGAATCCTTTTTTTTTTTTTTTTTTTTGTTGTTGTTTTGTTGTTGTTTTTTTATTTTGAGCAGTATTACAGTGAGTAGTTAGCGTTCTTTTTGTTTAAATAGCTGAAAACTGACATTACAGAAAGTGCCTTAGACACTACAGTACTAAGACAACGTTACATATATAATTTGCCTATATAACAATGATTTAATGTATTAATTTTGACTGTGCTTCATATCATGTACCTCTCTAGTCCAAGTGGTATTATTGATATTAGTGACAATGAATCAGTGTTAACTAGGAAACTTCTTCTGCCACATGCTCAAAACCCATGGATTTCCCTTTTTGGTTAAAAGCTTTAACATCTGTCGCAAAGGTTTTGTTGTGTGTGTTTGGATATTTTTAATCAAACTGGCTGTTGACCACCAGGCGTCTGACTGCAAATATCTTGTTTTCTTGTATACCCATATTTCTAGACAATGATTTTTGTAAGACAATAAATTTATTCATTATAGATGCGGCCGCCTGCTCTGTTTACTTACTGGAAGAGCTCTCCCGAGGCTGGCATAGACCTTAATAAACGAGATATGACTGGAAGCTGCCTTTTCCCTTCTTCCTCTTTTGTTTGCTTGCTTTTTTTTGTTGTTGTTTTCTTTTTTTTTTTTTCCTTTTATTTTGACCTAAATACAGCATCAGTGGCTTGGTCCGAGCTGAGTCTTTGCCTTTGAATGCCACTGGCAGGGCCCAGCTGGAGCACAAAGAAACTCTGAGCTGTGGCACAGGCTCTGGGCTCCTGCCTGCTCCTGAGCAGTTACATCCCATATTTTGGGGTCTTGGGGTGCAGAACCTGCCCTGGAGCTGGGCAGGAAAGGCCTGGGAGCTGCAGGAGCTGGAGGCCAAGGTGGGAGGTTTTGGCTGGGTCTGGGACCAGGGTGGGATGGATAGGAGGGAGAGGGGGTGGCCATGGGGAGGGTGACCCCGCTGGGCTGGGGCTGAGGTTCTGGCAGGAGCTCCAGAGGAATGGGATGGGCAGCCCGGGGTAGGGCAGGGCCCCCAGGACAGGGGCAGGACATGGGCACAGCCCTGGGGATGGACAGTGGGACCTGGGCACGGAGGGGATGGAGAAAACCGGGAAGGGGAAGGGATGGAGCAACCTTGGAAAGGATGGAACAGCACGGGAGGGGAAGGGATGTAGCAGCCCGGGAAGGAAGGGGATGGAGCAGCCCGGGGGAGGGATGGAGCAGCCTGGGAAGGGAGGGGATGGAGCAGCCCGGGGGAGGGATGGAGCAGCCCGGGAAGGGAAGGGAAGGGAAGGGATGGAGCAGCCCGGAAGGGGAAGGGATGGGAGCAACCTGGGAAGGGCCCCAGCCTGGCTCCTGTGCACAGGAAACTCCTTCCAGCTGCTCTAAGGAAGTAAAAATCCCCCGGAAGGCACAGCTGGAGGCTTCCAGCATGTACCCAGCAGCAGAGGCTGGGATGGCCCCAGCAGTGCCCAAACTGGGCACCAATCCCAAGGGAAGGGGTGTGGGATAATGTGGCACGGCCTGAACGCTGCCCCCCCTCCCCAGGGCTGGCAGAGAACCCTGCTGGACAAAGTAAGAGCCACAGCCACTGGTTCTGCAAAATCCACTGATTCCACATTAAAAGAACTTTATTTTTGGAAGATTACTCTCATTTGTTTTCATTCTTTTGAAACCACATCATGTCAGTGGCACCAGGGTGGAACGGTACATCCTATGGAAACATGCCAGAGAGAGGCTGAATAAATAAAGCTACAAAGCCCAAGTTATGTACAAAGACCTCAGGCAAAGGTATTATGTTTACAAATCTATGTACAATAAAACAAATGTAAACAGTCAAATGCAGCAGAGGATGCACAGGAAGGAAGGACCATACAAACCCTAATGGCAAAGGGACAATCCCACCTCCACTGCTGGGCCAGTGGGGTTTTTTTTCTCAGCATCTGTAACTCAACCACCTGGGAGCTGCAGAGCCCCTGACCAACGACTGCTGAACCCTCAGCTCCAACCCTGGCTCCATTTGCTGGATCAGAATAAAAATCCACTGACTCTGAGGCACATGGACAGAGAAACCACACAAATGTGTTGCCTGAAAGACCCACAAGGTTCAGTCGCCCCAAAGCGTCAGAGCAGCCCTCAGGTGAGGCTGCACAGTCCAGTCCTACAGCACGGGGTGATGGCAGGGGCTCCTGGGGCCAGGGGAACAGCAGCTCCCTAAACTCCCATGGGTGAGGGACGGAGGCCAGCAGGGCCAGGCAGCTGTGGGGCAGCCCTGGGCACTCCTGAGGGCACAGCCCCTGGCACTGCCCCCCCTGCTCCAGGGAGAACAGCCCAGCCGTGCCAGGCCCAGCTGGAGGGAGGGCTGGGATGAGCACAGAGCCTGGGCATGGAGCCGGCCTGGCCAGGCTGGAGCTGCTCACCCAGCCCTGCTCTGACTGCCCCGGCTGCAGCTGCTCCTGAGACAGCGCCTGGGGCTGATCCCGAGTGCCAACGGCCCCAGGGCCACCACTGGCACCCCAGGGCACTTCCACGAGGTCTGAGAGCAGCAGCTGCAGGGCCTGGCAGGGCACAGGGCAGGGGAGCCTGGCAGAGGAGGGGACAAGGCTCTGTCAGACCTAAGTGAGAGGAGAGGGAAAGCCAAGGGGGCGAGCTGGGCCTGGCCCCCAGACAGAGCAGGACTCGGTGTCCCCAAGCACAGCAGGACTCAGTGTCCCCAAGCACAGCAGAGGTGGCAGCTGGTGGGGCCGGGGCACAGAACGTCCACTACAGCGAGAGCAGAAAACAAACTGTATTGACAGGACATGGAGGGCTCGGGCTCTCCTCTCAGGGCCATGTTCCAGCAATGGGGTGGCAATGGGGAGGAATCAGGAGCAGTTCTTCTCGAGGTGGGCTGAGAAAAGCATCCAAGTCCAAGCCCCGGGGGCTCATACGCTCAGGGGGAGCATTCCCGGCGCCGAGGACGGGCGGGAGCCCCCCAGGCCGGGGGGCCCTTGGTCAAAGCCATTCACGGCCCTGGGGACAAGAGACAGCCCGTTAGGGGAGCAGCAGCCAGGACAGGCCCGCAGGGACCCTGCTCCTCCCTCCTTCCCTCCTCCATCCCTGCCAGCAGGGCAGGACGGGCCCGGCCCGGCGCCCGTGCCAGCGCTGGAGCTGGCACGGCCTGGCTGAGGTGACTGTGCCAGGGACGAGTGGCCACAGAGCCTGAGCCTGCTGGGCTCACCAGGGGCTGGGCAGGGTCAGGGCAGCCCTCAGGGCATCCCCACCTGTCCCTGGCCTGGCACACCGTGTTAGAGCCGTGTCCCTGTGCCCAGAGCCAGGGCACTCGTGTCCCTGTGGACAGAGGGGACTCTCACACACACACACACACATAAACACACATAAACACAATCAGCAGTGTCCCAGCCCCATGTCCCTGTGGACAGAAGGGACACACACACACACACACACACACAGAGTCTCACACACACACTCACACACACACACACACACACACACACTCTCACTCACACTCACACACTGCCAGCAGTGTCCCAGCCCAGCAAAGCTGGCTCTGTGCCCCTCCATCCCCACTGGGCTGCAGTGGAGGCTCCCAGTGCTGCACCCCAGGCTGCAGAGGCTCCCTGTCCCCAGCACCCCCCTGGAGCTGTGCAGCTCCTGCCTCCCCAGGGTGTGGGACAGCAGCCTGGGGGTCCAGCAGCTTCTTCACATCTCCTGGGAGCTCCTGGCCCTGCACTGGTTCCTCAGGGATGTTTGTGTCTCTGGCTGCCTGTCCCTGCAGTGCCATGGGCTTGGTGTCCATGTCCAACCCCTCTCTGCCCTGATTACTAATTTGGACTCATTAATCTGCATCTCAAGCTGTGTTTTGTACTTAGCACCTCATGCCCAAGACTCCTCAGCTCTCAGTATCCAACAAATCCTGGCTGGAAGATTTTCCTGGAGCTGACCAGCCTGGCCTGAGGGGAAATGGAGCTGCCAAAGCACACCTGGGCACCTGCAGCTGCCCCACTGTGCTGGGCAGGGACAGTGCCACTGAGCAGGGACTCTGCTGCTGTCCCCAGCCACACTGTCCCCTCCCTGCTCCAGCCCTGGCCATCGCCCTGGGCCCTTGTTTGCTTTCCTGCCAGCCACAGCCACACCACTGCACATCAGCAGGTCAAGAGCCACAAAATGCTGAAGGAAAATCCCAAACCTTCCACGTGAGCTCCATCCATAAACCACGCTTGCCCTGCGCCCCTGCTGTGACCAGTGCCATCAGAAACATGCACTTATTGAAAGTATTAAACAGAATTAAACCAAGCAAGCAGCACTCAGGCTTATGTTTGCAACAGGTCACAGCAGCAGAGAGGTTTACTTCAAGTCAGGAGAAAGAGCAATTGCACTCAGGCTCTGATCAGGGCCCATTAGTGTGGCACTACCAACTCCCTCGTGCAGTTAGCAGAGCCCCAGCCCTGCCCCAAGCCCCAGGTTACACCACATGCAGCCAATCAGTGCAAATGAATTCATTTACCCATGACCAAGGTGGGGAACATGACCTTCTCACGCCTAGTGGAGAGAAAGGGACAGTTTATGCACACAAAAATGACATTGCTGAGCACACAGCAGCTGGGGCCAAGCAGAGGTGCCCAAGCAAGGCTCAGCAAAGCTCTGCTGAGTGAGCTCTGCACAGTGAGGCTGCTCTGCAGGGGCAGCACAGCACACACAGCTCCCCTCTCCCAGGAAACCTCTCAATGGGTCAGGGACTGGGAAAGCCCACATTTCCCAGCCTGGTGTTCTGGTCAGGGCTGGGGGTACCAGTGCAGGCACCTCTGGCTGCTGACTGTGAGCACAGGCACTTCTCACACTGAACTTCAGCTCCTTCCTTAAAACAAAGCCCGAGGGATTCACAAAACCAGCCAAGAATGAGCATCAGCTGTGAGCACAGGGGCAGGCAGGGCTGCAGGAGGGGAATGAGCACCTCAGGCTGGCTGTCCAGGGCCTGCAGAGCCCAGAGCAGTTCTGTTTCCTGGACAAAACTGGACTGACATTAACAACCAATTAACAATAATTGCAACAGCTAAATACAAGTATTCACCCTGAGGACCATCCTCAGGTGCTGTTCTGCCATTCCCTGGCATCTGGACAGAACCTGCATGCTCCTGAAGGGACAAATCTGCACCAGACACTGGTGAGTTTTTGACAAGCAGGTAGCCCTGACTCCCCCAGGTCTGCAGCCAAGCTCTGGGGCAAGCCCTGCTGTGCTCCAGGCCTCCCCTAAAGCTGGGCCTTGACAAGAGCTGGAGGCACCTCAAATATTTCAATGAAATGGCAGAGGAGGAAAGCAAACAGAGCTGTAATGGTAAAATGTAAAACCCAGCACCAGCTGCTCCTGGGGCACTGACTGCAGAGTGGGGCAGGGCTGCACTCACAGCTGGAGCAGGGTCACACCTGGTCAGGGTCACACTCACACCTGCAGCAGGGTCACACTCACACCTGGGGCAGGGTTACACTCACACCTGGAGCAGGGTTACACTCACACCTGGTCAGGGTCACACTCACACCTGGAGCAGGGTCACACTCACACCTGGTCAGGGTTACACTCACACCTGGGTCAGGGTCACACTCACACCTGGGTCAGGGCTGCTCCCCCAGTGCAGCTGCCAGGGCCCAGAGTGGCTCAGGGGAGAGCCTGGGAGAGCCCAGGGGCTGAGGGGACAAGGACAGGACAGGGGGGCCGTGCAGCACCTCTGGCCACTTGCAGATAAGCACATGAACACCTCAGCCCTGGTCCTGTCCACTCCCACCCTCAGCATTTCCCTCCAGGCAGCCATCCCTGCCAAGGAGCCTGATGACAATCTGCACAATTAAAAGTGACCCCCACGGCAGAGAGACTCAGCTTACTGTCCCAGCACACCTCAGCACAGCCCTGCTGCCTGCCAGAGCTGCCAGAACCCCTGCCCTGCACCTCCTGCTCCCTGCAGGGGCACTGCTGGGGAGGCACAGCCCAGCCCTGCAGCACACACAGCCCCAGAGGCCGATCTGCACTGGAGTTCAAGGCTCTCAATCCTTCCTTTCCAAACCCCTGCAGTGGCTGCAGAAGCTCCCAGGCCCTGCTCCCCTCCCAGCCCCACTGAGGAGGGATGTGGGGAGCTCAGCTGGCTGCTCTGGCACTTCCATGTTGGAACCAGCGGGTTTCATTCTCTAAAATAAACGCAGGATTGAGGAAGTGCTGAGTGCCAGCACTGAACTGCACTGAGGTTTAACATGCAGGGAGCATGGAGGCTGTTTGCCCTCAGCACCACTGGAGAACTCCGTGCTTTCCACCTCTGTGGCCCTGAGCAGTGAGGAACTGGGGACTCCCTCCTGCAGCAGCACTGCCAGCATCCCAGAGGGAGCTCTGAGCACGGCACACACCGAGCCCTGCTTCCCAGGCCAGCAATCCCAGCTCCGAGGCTGGCCCACAGCCAGGAGGAGCCACACTCCAGCACCAATGGTTCATCCTCCCCTCCTGGAGGGGGTGTGAGCACCAGGACTCCCTCCCTCCTTCCAGGGAACGTCCCTGCCTGCCCTCAGCTCTGGGGGGAATCTCCAGCTGTGCTTGTGCCCATCCCCAGAGCAGGCCTGCAGCTTGGGCACCCCCTCCTCTGCCCCTGAGACACCCTCACAGGGCTCACTGGCACTCATTGCTCAGTGCCTGGGGTGGCACAGGCACCAGGAGATGGGGCAGATTCCCTCACAGGGCTCATTGGCACTCATTGCTCACTGCCTGGGGTTGGCACAGGCACCAGGAGATGGGGCAGATGCCCTCACAGGGTTCATTCCTCAGTGCCTGGGGTTGGTACAGCCACCAGATCAGGCAGATGCCCTCACAGGGCTCACTGGCACTCATTGCTCAGTGCCTGGGGTTGGTACAGGCACCAGGAGATGGGGCAGATGCCCTCACAGGGCTCACTGGCACTCATTGCTCACTGCCTGGGGTTGGCACAGCCACCAGATCAGGCAGATGCCCTCAGAGGGTCCATTCCCCACTGCCTGGGGTGGCACAGGCACCAGGAGATGGGGCAGGACTGGCACTGCCACCCCACACCTGCTTTTCTCCCCGCTTCGCAGAAATCCCTGCAGCCCTCGCTCCACGAGCTGCTCCCCCTAGAGCAGAGCTGTGGGGGCTGAGCAGGGGCCATGAGCAGGGCCTCAGAGGGCTCCCTGAGGGCACAGCAGGGCCTGACTCACTCACCCCTTGTCAAAGAAGGACGTGTGCCCTGGGTGTGGGTACTTGGTGCCGTTGCTGCTCAGCACGGCGCTGCTGACGTTCCCTGAAATGTAGGATTTCCGTGATGCCTGGTCCTTTGCAAAGTTCCTGCAAGCAGCTAATTTGGATTCTAAGGCCTGTGAAAGGGGAGGAAAGAACAGTGTTAAAGAAGTGGCACCACGAAGAGGGAGCCTTTTGCTGCTCATGAGCCCCAGGCTGCCACGATCAGGACTCCGGTGTGATCACCCTTGGCAATAAAATGGGAACAAAGCTGTCATTTCCTCGTCACCCCACCACAAAGGAAACACACAGATGCTGATGCAGACTGCCAGACATTACTCAGCTCCACGAGGGCTCAGATTTGAGAACAGATGAACTCTGAAATAATTACCCAAGATAAGGAAGCCAAACCCTAGCAGAAGTTAGCCAAACTTCTTGCCTCAGCAGCTGCCTCGAGCTGATCAGAGCACTGAGAGTCTAAAGCAGAATCCTCAAGCTTTGAGAGGGACTGGGCACATGGAAATTTGGATTGTTTTTTCACCAGGACAATGCCTCCTGGAATGTCTTTCTTAATCTTGGCTTGCAAAATAAAGTCAATTTGTAAAGTTTCACTACCACCCCTCCAAACAGGCCTGGTGAGGTTTTTTTCCCCTCCCATGTAAAGTGCCAGTGACTCCTGGAAGGAGGAGCAACATCCTGATTCTGTCCTTTAGTCCAGAGCATCACCTGCCCTTTCTGCCCCCATCAGAGGCTGAATATCCACCTTATCCTGCAGATCCACGTGGTGTAACACACAGCCCTCACTCATCACAGCCTTCAGAACATTGCAAATTCCTGCACTGGGGCCTGAAATCCATCTCCCCAAATGTGGGGTTTGCTGCTGCTCTGCACAGGTGAGTGAGCCCTGTGCACACTCCTAGGAATGCCTGGAAGTTTATTTAACCTAACTCTGGGTGTCACAGATTGTCCCCTGGCCACAGGCAGGGACCTGAGCCCTGCCTCAGCTGCAGGCAGGGAAGCAGAGGGGAAAGCTCCTGCAGAAACAGGAGTGCAAGCCTGGGATGGGGCACAGCCCCAAATGACTGAGCAGCCCCAGAGTGCTCCAGAGCCCTGTCCCAGTGTGGCTCAGGCAGGCTGGGAGAGCAGTTTGCTTATTTGGCATTTCCTGTCCTGGCAGAGTAATCACAGGGATTGGCACTAAGCTCCCCAAATCCCCGGCAGACTCTTGCTCACAATGATCCCCTGTGAAACGTGTCACTGCTAACCCCAGCTGTCCTGCTGCCCTTTCAAACCAGCCCTGAGCTCCCAGGGGAGCTGCCAGGGCGTTTTTCATGTCCAAGCCTGCTGAAACAACCGTGTGAGCTGTCTGCAGCCCAGCCTGGCTCCAGGGCACAGGGCAGAGCCAGCCACAGCTGCCCTGAGCTCCACAGCCCAGAGCAGCTCCTGGCAGCTCAAAAGTAATTTCTGCTTCCAGGGGGAGAGCCTGGCTCCCGAGCAGCACTGCAGCAGATGTTTAGAGCAGTTCTTCTCTGCTGACAGTGTAATCCCTTTAAAGGCTCATGCATTTCACTTCCCCACCAGGCACAGATGGGAGCATTTGGCTTTCTCCTCATTTATTTTCTCGCTTTCTTACCAAAGGTTTCCAGGCTGGTTTTTCTTTCAGTGTCTGTGGCAGATCTCCATGGGAGAGGAGCTGTCCCACCCTGGCAGGGAGATCCCAGCTCCTGCTCACCCAGGGCCTGAGCTCCAGCTCTGCAGCCCAGGCAGAGGAAGCTGCAGGCCCAGTTAAGGTAAGAACAAGCTGGCAGTGTCTAACCCAGCACTTGAAATTTTTTTATTCCAAATATGAATTTTGTCACTCCAAACTGGATTCAGAACCATAGGATCAGGTTTGAAAAATCGAAATAATTTTAAAAAATAAAGCATTGTCAACTCCTAAGCAGTGAATGGATGAGTTGGCTGCTCCAGAGGTACCCAGCAGGGCCCAGGCTGTGCAGTGAGGGAGCACAGGGACAGGAGCCCCAGGGAGAGGCAGAGCTCAGCACTCACCCCCACTTTGCGTAGCAGATCTCCCACGATGTTGAGTGCAGATATTCGAGCTGAAGGAGTGAGTGGGCTGGTTCCAAACCCATTTGGTATAGCTGCAAACACAGACACCTCTCATTACTTCACTCCTCCACAGCCCAGGCTTTTCAAAAATTTAAATAAATCAGCTTCTACATTAAAAACAAACCCCAAACATATCTACAGTCTTGCTGCAGACATTTCATACAATTACCCACAGTAACTGCAGGATCCCCAGGCAGTGAGGATGATAAGGCTTAATTCCTGCCCTGGCTGCCATCAGCCCCCCCAGCAGAGTTCATGCCCTCTCCATCTGCAAGGCTACTGACTGCAATCCATCCCAGCAGCCAGAGCTGCCTCTGAAACACCCACTGTTAATCCCTGGGACTGCCCAGAGCCTCCAGATGGGAAAGGGGTTGGGATCCCACTGCCCCACACAGGAAACAGGACCCCTGAGAAGTCACTGTGGTGCCAGAGACTCCACATTCCTGAGCCTGCTCACCCACCACTGCTGCTGCACATGGAGCAGAATTATCAGTCCCTGCACTCCCCTGCATTCCCAAATGTCTGCAGGGCCCCAGTGCAGGGTGCAAACCCTGCCTGCCCCCAGAGGCAGTGCCCAAGCTTCCCTGTCCTCTGCCAGGCTATTTACTCCTGAAATGCACTGCTGCTGCCCTGGGATCAAACACACACCTGCGAGGGTGTGAGACCCACACCCCACCCACCTCTGGTTCCCTAAGGAGCACAAGCAGACCCCATTGCTATGCATGGTACCTTTTGGGGAGGGAAAACTATTTTCTGATCCTTTTCCAACAGGTGTGGCTGGCAAGGAGAGAGAGGCCTGGACAGCTGAGTCCATCTTCTCACAGTCCAGAGTGGGGGAGCTGGGTGCTGATTTCCGTGTCACCTCCTGCTGCCTTTCCCTCACAGCCAGCTCCTGCCGCAGGTCTGAGGGTTGAGAGAAGGAAAAAACCCCGCAAAATCCCACATCAGTGATTGATTCTCTCACAAACACTCTCGCTGTTCATTTGGGAGGGGCAGCAGCAGCAAATTCCCACCAATCCTGGGTTAGTGCCTGCTGCTGCTTCCTCCAGGAGTGGGGACACCCCTCAGAGCAGCCCTGTCCCATTGTCCCATCCCATTGTCCCATCCCATTGTCCCATCCCATTATCCCACCCCATTATCCCACCCCATTGTCCCACCCCATTGTCCCATCCCATTGTCCCACCCCATCATCCCACCCCATTGTCCCACTGTGCCACCCCATCATCCCAGAGCAAACAGCCCTGCCTGCCCCACACAGCTCCTGTCCCTGGCATGGGGGCAGCTGATTTACATCAGGATTTCTCCCCCTTTGCAGTGTGAGCTCCACATTCCCAAAAGTGCAGCTGGACACAAAGAGGAGCTGCTGCTGCTGCTGCTGCTGCTGCTGCTGCTGCTGCTGAGCCCAGCTCCTGCTCAAGCCCAGCTTGGGAGAACAGAGCAGTGACCTGTTCCTGTGCTTCCCATTCCCTACATTCTCCTCCCAGTTAATAATCCAAGGGTTGCACCCAATTTCTTGATGCCCTGACAAGTAACAGAGCAGTCCAAAGGCCAGGGAAAGGACTGGGCCTTAGAAAAGCCTGGCTTTACTCTCACCTCCTCCCCAGACTGCAGCTTATCCCCTCCCTTTCCACAGCTTTTTGCTACCAGGGACACCCAGCACAGCCCAGCAATGGATCTCTCAAATCCTCAGAAAGATGCAAACAAACATTCCAAGTGAGTTGTTCCTTTTTGGGCAGAGCTGCTTCATTTTCACACATCTCCTATTCCTTGCCTCAGTCTGGTACAAAAGCAAAATCACCTGCACATCACAGCTTTTAGGCTGTAACAAATACTTAGAGCTGATTTTAGGTAAAACAGCAGAGCTGAAGTGAGGATCTGTCTGGGCTCCCAGAAGAGGACCTGAGGCTGTTCAATCAGAAATGTCACACTGGAGTTGGACAGTACCAGTTCTTTTAGAGGCTACTGTTCCTGCTTGCTGCCAGGGGGAATAACTCAAAATGCTAAAAATGTTCAAATGACTCATCTAAGAAACAAGATGTCTGTTTTGCTGATTGTTCCAGTGTTCTAGAAAACAGTCTCCTGGGTTTTGCTGATTTTCCCAGTTTTATTGCCCTAATCTCACATTACAATCCATACACTTCCTCAGAAAATTTCTTTCTTCACATTTATTTCAAAATCCCTGTGCTTCCAATAAAGCTCCTGATTTCCAGGGCACGGATTTGCTTCAAAAAGGTTCAAAAGGAGAACAGCAACCAAAAATCCCAGCCTGTTGTCAGGCAGCTCCAGGCCTTAAATGAGGAAATATTTTAGAAAGCTTCATTTAGGGAACAAAGCTGCAAACCACCAACCTCTAAAGCCATCATTGGCTGGCTTATGAGCAGAAACCTCCACTGTTAGAGAAATCAGTTTATAGCACCAGTAAAAATGCCTCCCCAGCATCCTCAATGTGAAATCCACTGGGGAATCCCCAATTCCTGCTCTTATCCCAGGACACCATCCCAAACATCTCCCACAGGTCTGAGCACAGCCTTTACCAGAACATCTTAAATAATATATTCAAGGCAATTTGCTTAGAAGGAACATAGGAGACTTCTTTTAAGAGTTACTTGATCATTTATCCTGTGTTTCCCTGTCATTTCCTGTGCTCTCCCTTCCTGTAAACCCACAGCAAGAGGAACTTCTGAAGCAGCTTCCTCAATTCTCTTATGTCTGTGGAACAGAGTATTTTTGTGTTAAAAATCCTGAATTCACCAATTATTAATTCTGCCCTAAATGAGGATATTTTCCTTTTTGGCTACACTGGACGTACAAAGAACACACTGTCAGTAAAACCTGAAGCATGCAGTTCAAGTCTCATCATGTGAGGCTTTCTAGAAACATGAGCTCTGCTTGCTGCACATCTCTTTAGCAACCCAGCCCTGCACCAGGAGCCAGAACCAACCAGACCAGCCATACCTCTTGCTTCATCCTTTAATCTCTGCACAGAGACCAGCAATGACTCCTTGTCATCCAGTTCACTTTCTAAAAATGCATTTCTCTCAATAGCTTGGTTCAGCCTTTGTTCAAAGTCCTCCAATGAAACTATTGTTGCCCTAGAAACAAAATCCAGAATATTAGGTTCTTCAGCTCAGCCAGCATAAAAGCTTATTCAGAAGCATAACAGAAGGAAAATGTTAGCAGGGCTGTGTTCAAGGGAAGCATCTGAAAGCCATGCAAATGCTTCTGAGAAAGGAGTCATCAAAGGAGCAGGAGAAAAGGATGGGAAGAACATGATAGCATCTGGGTCTCAGAGAGGTACCAAGGATGTGGGAAGGAGCCAGCCCAGAGCTCCTTTCTCCCCCAGCCATGTTCCAAAGCTGAGCATTAATCAGTGCCCCAGTGTCACAGACACATTTTATGAAACATCCTTTCATTAGGATCTTTTCTCCTGAGAGGCTGGGAAGCTTCAGCTTCTCCATCTTTTGCTGCTTTGGAATGTGATTTGGAGAATTGTTCACCCAGCATGTGAAATTGTTTTTACTTGATGACCAATGACAGCCACCAGTGCCGAGGCTGTGAGCAGTCACAAGATTTTATTATTCATTCCATTCCTTTCTATTCCTTTCAAGTCTTCTGATGAAATCCTTTCACCTATTCTTTTAGTTTAGTTTTAATATATCGATATAATATAATAAATATAATAAATATAATAAATATAATAAAATAAAATAAAATAAAATAAAATAAAATATAATATAATATAATATAATATAATATAATATAATATAATATAATATAATATAATATAATATAATATAATATGTGTAATATAATAAGTATAATAAATATAATATAATATAATATAATATAATATAATATAATATAATATAATATAATATAATATAATATAATATAATATAATATAATATAATATTTCAGCCTTCTGAAACATGAAGTTGAGATTCTCATCTCTTCCCATGTCATGGTTGCCTGCAGATTCAACATCTGGTGACCCTGGGTGAGGAACATTGCCCCAGCCCAGCTCAGGTGGGGCTGTGCTCTCAGGGCTCTGCACAGGCACAGCCCAGCCAGGTGGGCAGCAGAGCACTGGGACATTACCTCAGACACAATTCCTCCCAAAACCAGTGCCAAAAGTCAGTCATGAGCTTAAAGAGCCTTGTGCAAACAGGGCTCAGCTCTCAGACCTTTTCTCCAGATGGCCAGAGGCTCATTGCTGCTCTCCCTGAATCCATGGCAGCATTCCCACTCAGCAGAAGGGAAGCATGACCTCCTCCCAAACTGGGTGTTGCCAGCAGCAGCCTGCTCATTCCAGCACTTGGGAAGGGCAGGGCTGCTCCCTCCAGCTGCTCTGAAGGCACCAGGACACTGCTCTGGCCTGGCTGATTGAACAGGACTATGGAAAGCAGGAGACTCTGACTTCAAAGGGGCTCTGAGGCAGCAGCACCACAAATACCAGGGGCAGTGCAGGGGCCTGGCTGGCTCTGGGCACTGGTTCTGCCCCTCCTGCTGCAGCAGGAACCAGCTGCTGCTGAGGGGCAACTGCACTGCTCAAGGAATCCAAAATCTTGAGGGTGTTTGGGGTTTTTTTTGGTGTTTTCCCTTTAAGGAGCAATGAAATGCTCGAGCTGAGTAGCAAAGAAAAGATCTTTGTGGTGCAAACTTGAAGGGAAGAGGGGGTTTGCAGCCTTCACCTCTTGGCACGTTCCAGGTCATCGTTGGCCTGCTCCAGCTCCCTCACGTATTTGTGCAGCTGGTCTTTGATGGCCCTGGTCTGGCTCAGGTCATCCTCCAACAACGACACCTGCTTGTAACTCTGGGCATACTGGTGCTCCAGTTTCTCCTGAAACAAAGGGCAGGGAGATAAACATCAGCTGCTGGCGCTGGCCAAGCCATCAGCACGAAAGGGGACAAAAAAAGAGTCACTCTGTGTGCAGAATGCTGGTTTGGGAGTACTGGTAATTCAGAGCAGAAACTGGAAAGGGAGCAGGCTGTGAGCCTCAGAGCTGGCCCCAGTGCAGAATGGCACAGCTGCCTCTTGGGGCTGCAGCCCTGCATCTGCTCCCCTCAGCCTGCACTGAACCGACAGCTGCTCCAGGAGGGCAGCGAGAAATCCAAGTGCCCTGCCAGGCTCCCCTCTGTGTGCCCTCTGTGCCTTGCCAGCCTCTCCTCTGTGTGCCCTCTGTGCCCTGCCAGGCTCCCCTGTGTGCCCTCTGTGCCCTGCCAGGCTCCCCTGTGTGCCCTGCCAGCCTCTCCTCTGTGTGCCCTCTATGCCCTGCCAGGCTCCCCTGTGTGCCCTCTGTGCCCTGCCAGCCTCCCCTGTGTGCCCTGCCAGGCTCCCCTGTGTGCCCTCTGTGCCCTGCCAGCCTCCCCTCTGTGTGCCCTCTGTGCCCTGCCAGCCTCCCCTCTGTGTGTCCTCTGTACCCTGCCAGGCTCCCCTGTGTGCCCTCTGTGCCCTGCCAGCCTCTCCTCTGTGTGCCCTCTGTGCCCTGCCAGGCTCCCCTGTGTGCCCCTGCCCTGCCAGCCTCTCCCCTGTGTGCCCTCTGTGCCCTGCCAGCCTCCCCTGTGTGCCCTCTGTGTGCCCTGCCAGCCTCCCCTGTGTGCCCCTGCCCTGCCAGCACCCATCCCCACTGCAGAAATTCTGATGTGTCCATTGGCTAAAACGGGCCACTGAGATCTGTCACAAAACCTCCAGGCCCACAGACTCATCCTCTGTGAGGAATTCACTGCCAAAAACCCTCTGAGAGCCTATGGAGAAACTCCTGAGCTCCTAAAACACATCCTGACACTGCAAGTACAGCTGGGACTGGAGACACCAGGCAATCCCTTAAACCCTCCTTCCACTGAGTGAATTTCTAAGCTCTGCCTTCACTAAATGAGCCAAGACTGCCCAAAAGGATGCTTTTTCAAGATTTCAAGGAGGCAAGAACGTGTTAGCACAGAGGCATCAACTGAGAGCCCCCCTGTGCTCATGCAGATCCTTCAGCAATTCCTGGCTCCACAGATCAGGCTGTGAATGGACGTGGAGGCTCCCTGAAAATGGGCACAAATCACCCCATTTCTGCTTTCTTTGGGGTCTCATGAAACCAGGGAGGCCCTGAGGGCACCAAGACTGGTGTGCAAGGAAAGGCCTGACCAAGCCCCTGTGCTGTGCCCTGTTGCTATGCTGCTGCTCCCTGTGGAACAAATAAAGCTCCTCCTTGGCACAGCCTGGGGAATTCAAAGCAGCACAAACTCCAAGTTTCGTGACGTGAACGAGAAAAATTCTGCCAGAAATGTCCCTGGCCTTATTTGGGGTACATGCCATGCTTCAGTGTGGATCTTAACCAGACAACTCCTTTTTCATTTGGATATTCAGTGCCCAAAAGCAGCCCAGACAATCCAAGCAGAGATCCAAGATGAGCTGAGAGGAAAAGCAGCACAACCACAGAGCAAACCTACCTTTAAAGTTTCCACTTCATATTTCAGTCTTTGGTTATCTGCTTGCAAGTCTCTGTTCCTCTGCTCAGCTTGCACGAGCTGTGCCTCTAACTCAGCTTCTAATTCCCTGCTTCCCTCCTGGAACTCAGCCAGCTCTTCACGAGCCTCCTGGAAGCTGCAAGGAGAGCATTGCATCAGTGGGAGAGCCAGCATCTCCCAAGCTACAACAAAACTGCAGCTCTTCTCAAAGGAAAAGCTGAAAACCACGAGTTTTAAAGCACTCAAGTGTCATCCACAGGCCTCTAAGGGGAAAAAGAAAAATGGGAAAATAGAGAAATTGCATTAAGCTAAGCAATTGAAGGAAATTAATTCTCTTACATCAAACCCAGCAGCCACCTGGAATGCCTGTGTGGAATCAAAGCTATTTACAGGATTCAAGGGAGCCTGAGAAGCACTTTGTGCTCCATTAGCTTTCACTGCTGGCAGACTTCATGGAACACACAATGAATTAAGCAAACATTTAACCAGATTTTGGTCAGCAGCTGAGGAGAGAACAACAGTTTCTGCATCTCTGCACCAGCTGGAAAATTCAAGTTAGTAAAAATCATGCAGAGTCAGGAGGGCAGGACATGCCTACCTCATTCCACTGTGAGTTATTAAATACCAGAAGTAGCCACCCCACATACTTGGCTTATTAAATTTGCATCTTTAGCACACGTAATAGCTGAGCCCTCAGCAAGCAGCAGAGGAAACCACCGAGGCTTTGGGCAACAACACATCCAGTGGTGCCTCAGATGGAATTCCTGACCCACATCCAGTGGTGCCTCAGATGGAATTCCTGACCCACAAGAACAGCTCAGGGCTCTCCACACGGACAGGCCCCTCCACATTCCCAACGTGTCCCTCCCAAAAAACCCCAAACCAAATAAGAAACCCCACTTGGAGCTTGGGCTCTTTGGGTTTGAGAGGGATTTAACTCCAAATAAACCTCAGCCCACCCCCCAGAGAGCAGCTGCAGCTTCTCCTGGCACTTTGGGTGCCAAAGCCCTGGAAATGATGCAAACCACGGGCACAGGCAGGACCAGGAGCATGGAACACTTGGATAAAATGCAGCAGACATCAAATCAGGCACCTTTCATACCAGTAACTCCACTACAAGAAGCTTGAGGGAGCTGGAACGATACAAGGCAAGCCCAAAGGCGCCTTCTTGTGATAAAACATCAGGATCCCACTCAAGGCAGCACTTTAATTACACCAAGGTGCACATGATCATGAAAAGGCTCTGCTCTTGCTCAAACATGCTCAAAACATAGCCTGCAGTTCTTGGCATGGTGACACTGGGCAAGAAACACTCAGCTCCCACAGAGATGGAAATTTTAAAGCTGGAAATCCTTTCCAGAGAATTCTCTTCTCACAGGTTTTCTCTGAAGTATCTAATAACCATCTTGGTGTGGCCTTGCAGAGGAACAGATTTAACAGCGATCATTAAGATCCAAATCCTGGTCATTAAGAACCACATTCAGCTTGCAAATCCACAATACCTTTGCTTGTACTTCAAGGAAAGCTCTTTCCAATAGGCAGTTTCCTCCTTTGGACTCGAAAAAGTAGGGATTTCTTCACTGTCCATGATCAACACGACCTGCAGGACACAAACACAGGGATACACTCAGTTCAAACCCAAAACCTCTGCTCAGTCCTGGGCATTCCAGGCACCAGGACTGGCACCCAGAGCCAGGTGCCAGGAGACCCTGCCAGGGCTCATCCAGCACTCAGAGCAGCCCCAGGGAGCCCCAGGACTTTGCCAGCCTCTGCAAGGGCTCCTGGAGCAGCCTGGAATGAGAGCAGGAGGTCTGGTTGTATTTTGTAGCTGCCACGATGTCACAGACATCTTTTATGGAAAATCCTTTCCTTAGGATTTTTTCTCCTGAGAAGCTGAGAGACCTCAAAGCCAACATGTAACCAATGGTTATCTGCTGCTATAAAATACAAGTACATCTGGGATTGGTCTCATGTGGTTGTTTCTAATTAATGGCCAAATCACAGTCCAGCTGTCCAAACTGTCTCAGTCAGCCACAAACCTTTCTTATCATTCTTTCTTTTTCTATTCTTAGCCAGCCTTCTGATGAAATCCTTTCTTCTATTCTTTTAGTATAGTTTTAATATAATATATATCATAAAATAATAAATCAGCCTTGTGAAACATGGAGTCAGATCCTCATCTCTTCCCTCACCCTAAAACCCCTGTGAACATCACCACAATTAGTGACCCTGAGTGATGAAACATTCCCACACCACAAGCCCTCTCAGGCCCACAGCTGCTCACACACTCAAATTTACAGCTCTATCACTTTCCACTTCACTCCATTAAATGTCCTGAAGAGATTTTGCCTCCTGCCACCACACAGTGACTGCACTGAGGCTGCTTTTAGAGCTGCAAGGTGAGCAGGGAAGGAGGATGAGCAGTCCAAGGGAGGTAAGCACAAACAGCTCTGTGTGCACATCAAAACTCAACTTATTCCTCCTGCAGCAAGTCCTGGCTGATTCCCACTTGTGTCACGTGCAGGTAACAGGAATTATCAGCCAGCCCCAAGGAAGATCAGCCTGTCCCAGAAATGACATGGTCATGTCACAGAGGAGTGTTCAGAGAAGTCTCCCACACCAAGGCACTGGAGGTCCCCTCTCCATGAGGATCCTGCTTTCTTGGACCATCCCAGGCTATCAGCCAGCACAGGAAACACACCCCAACATACCTTTGGTGGGGTTTTTATGGTGTTCTGTGGTCTAGGGGACACATCAGAGGCCTCAGCACACACCAGGTCTCAGGGGTGATGGAGGAGGTAAAATGCAGAGCAGGACCAGGAGAATGCTCAGACCCAGGAGATGCACCATTGCTGAGCCCTCCCCAAGCAATCCCACAGCTCTTTAGGGCATTTTTTCATTTTTTTCTCCTCAAAAAGCCAAGCCTCAAATTCTCACCACCCTGAAAAAGAACGGGGTGAAGCCAAGCTGCAGGCAGAGGCTGTGAACAACGGCTGCACCAATTCCATTGATCAGGAGAGCTGACCTAAAAGTCCTGACTCTAACAGCCATCACTTCCCAGCCAAGCCTGTCCCCTCAGGCTAAAATAGTCACACTAATGTGCTCTGTATCTCAGTGACCCACATTTCTGACACCTCAAAGTGGGCCAGAACAATCCCCTGCTTTCATCAGAGGGCAGCCAGGCCAAGCACAGCCAGGCAGAAGTGGCACACTGGCTCTCCAGCTGAGCCTGCAGCTGCCACAAGCCAAGAGCAAACTGATCCACAGAGTGCCAAGCACCTCAAAACCACCTCCAGCCTCACACTGGGTTTATTTAACTGCACAGCTTTGCTGCACAAGCAAACATGTCATGGCTCAGGAGAAGGGATGGGGCTTCCCCTCCTGCACTGAGGAAATGAGAAGTACCTGTGGAGCCATTCCCATCACAAATTTCAGACTGGATTTTCTTTGGGAGCGCTTGCATCAGCCGTTACCAAGGCAGCTCAGTCACTCCACGGGGACAGATCCCGAGCCCTGTGCAGAAGCTGTGGATGTGGAGTTCAGTATTCCTGCCCCAACTGCTGCAGTTCCACGGTGGGAGCACAGAGCAGACACCTGGCAGAGCTCAGGGGTGCCCAGCACTGCCTGGGCAGTGGGAGCAGACACCTGGCACAGCTCAGGGGAGCCCAGCAGCTCCTGGCACAGCTCAGGGGTGCCCAGCACTGCCTGGGCAGTGGGAGCAGACAGCTGGCACAGCTCAGGGGTGCCAGCAGCTCCTGACACAGCTCAGGGGTGCCCAGCAGCTCCTGGAGTGCTGGAGCAGACACCTGGCACAGCTCAGGGGTGCCCAGCACTGCCTGGGCAGTGGGAGCAGACACCTGGCACAGCTCAGGGGTGCCCAGCAGCTCCTGGAGTGTTGAAGCAGACACCTGGCAGAGCTCAGGGGTGCCCAGCAGCTCCTGGCACAGCTCAGGGGTGCCCAGCAGCTCCTGGGCAGAGGTTCCCACTGCCAGGACAGGTCACTGCTGGCTGCTGTCCCTAGCATTTGTCAACACTGATCCAACCCTTCCACAAACCCCTCCACCTTTCCCTGAGCGGCTCTAAGCCAGAGGGGCTCAGAGCAGCAGGGAGCACATTCACCGCAGAATAAACCAGGTAAAGCACAACACGGGCTCAGCTCCCACAGCTCAGGAGGAGCTGGGCTCAAAAGGTGAGCAGCCAAGCAGGCTGACAGTGAAATTCAGGATGTGGCTAGAAAAAAGCTTGTACAAGGAAGTGTCTTACATCATTTCCTAGAAGTAGCTGAGATAAGGCACAAGACTCCTTCCCGTCTGCTCACATGGGGCACACCCTTGGAAATCAACATCTGAGGGATCCCTGCAGGCACAGCAAGACCAGGAGGGGCTGCCTGGGGCTCCCAAGGACAGGAGGTGTCTTTGCCCCCCACTCCTTGTCCAGCACCTGAGATCTCCTTCCACACGCTGGAGGGAGGAGATTGAGCCCAGCGCTGCCTCAGGAATTCCGGGCAGGAATTCTCCCTTCCCAACCCTGCCAGATCTTCCCCAGCTCTCTCATCCTGCTTGGGGAGGGGGGGGGTGGCTCCTGACTGCCCCTGCTCCGTGTCTCACCACCCCTAATGCCACCAGCAGGGATTTGGGATCTGCTGACTGCTCTGCATGAATCCCTGCTGCAGGTGCCAATGCCAGCGTGCACTGCTGAGCTCCAGCACCCACATCCTGCTTTTTGTCTTCTTTATTATTTTATTTTATCCTGCTTTTTGTCTTCTTTATTATTTTATTTCTATTTTATCCCGCTTTTCGTATTCTTTATTATTTTATTTCTATTTTATCCCGCTTTTCGTATTCTTTATTATTTTATTTCTATTTTATCCCGCTTTTCGTATTCTTTATTATTTTATTTCTATTTTATCCCGCTTTTCGTGTTCTTTATTATTTTATTTCTATTTTATCCCGCTTTTCGTGCTCTTTATTATTTTATTTCTATTTTATCCCGCTTTTCGTGCTCTTTATTATTTTATTTCTATTTTATCCCGCTTTTCGTGCTCTTTATTATTTTATTTCTATTTTATCCCGCTTTTCGTGCTCTTTATTATTTTATTTCTATTTTATCCCGCTTTTCGTGCTCTTTATTATTTTATTTCTATTTTATCCCGCTTTTCGTGCTCTTTATTATTTTATTTCTATTTTATCCCGCTTTTCGTGCTCTTTATTATTTTATTTCTATTTTATCCCGCTTTTCGTGCTCTTTATTATTTTATTTCTATTTTATCCCGCTTTTCGTATCCTTTATTATTTTATTTCTATTTTATCCCGCTTTTCGTATTCTTTATTATTTTATTTCTATTTTATCCCGCTTTTCGTGTTCTTTATTATTTTATTTCTATTTTATCCTGCTTTTCGTGTTCTTTATTATTTTATTTCTATTTTATCCTGCATTTGTATTCCCATGAGGGGCAGGACAAAGGGATTAAAGCACACAGCCACGCTGCAAACACGGTTCTTCACAGCCAAAATACCAACCTGGGAGCTGGGGGATGCTGACACTTCCAGACCTGCTCCCAGCACACACGTGGTGGCCATGGGAAAATCCTTCACTCAGCCAACCTCTGCCCATTCCCTCAGAAGCATCCACAAAAAGATGGATTGTGCAAGCAGAGAGCAAATCCCAGGAGTTATCAGAGCACAGCCAGACAGCTCCACAGATCCCATGTGTGGGAGAGCAGATGCCCACGGAATACCAAGAGTTTAACAAAAACTGCTTTGCCTCAGCCCGCTGCCTGTTGTCCTGGCCCTGGGAATTCTGTCAGGAGCTGAGAACCAGCACGGCCAGTCCTTCCTATTCAGGGCTTCTTTGCATACGTGGCACTTGCAGAATCCAGCCTTTGACAAACAACACTGAGGCTTTCAGGGAGCAGACAAGACAATGCAGCAGCGTCTTCCAGGGAAAATGAGAGCAGGCTTATGCTGCTGCCCCCTCAAATTCATTCCAACACAGCTTAGCATTCACACAGTGCCCTGGGAAAACACAGCTCCGTGGGCACAGCTCCAGCTCCAAAGCTGCTCCCAGACAAGAACTACCTTCAAACCATGGGGGCTCCTCTCAAACCCCCCCGACAAAGTCAGCAGGACCCAGCAACTCTCCACTGAGAAAAGGAAAGAACTTCTCCATGCTGCAATGAGTCTAAAAACACACAGTCTGGAGGTTAAGAACTTGGCTAAACCCAGAGGGGTTTGTCCAGGACAAATCTGTTTTCCCACCTCGAAAGCATCCTTAAAATGAGAGGAGCAGTATCCTGCAGATATCACGAGAGCCAGAGGCTCAAGAATGCACCAAAAATACCCAAACTAAGAGGCAGACAGGATTTTCCAAGTAATTTAAGCAATCTTGCATTCAAACGTCTCTGGAGCCACCTTCCAGCTAAGGCATGAAAGCACAAACACAGCTTGAAGTGTAACACAGTACCTTAAGCAAGCTCCCCAGGCTCTCCATGTGACTGCAGCCAAGCTTGGGGTGAAATCCAAGACCAAAACACTCAGCCTGAAATCCAACACGACTCTCAGCTGGGACCCACCCCTTCCCGCAGAGGGGAATCCACTCCTCCCTGCTCTCAAAGTCACCCAGTCCCTCGCACGTCACGGCAGGGATGACTTTGAGCACTGCAATTCACCCCGGATGTACCTGCAGCATCCCAAGCGGCTGCAGAATGAATTCTTCCTGATTTTAATTGCCTCACACCCTCCCATTTAAACCCTCCACATCTACAACAACACAGAAATGCACAGTCCAGCCAGGAAACAGGACAGGGGATCTCCTCCAGAGCAGATCTAACACTATTAATCCCAGACCCACACTCTTTACCCACTCTGCCACATCCTGTGCAGCCACAGTTAACTGGCACCATCACCCAGCCTGTCTGTGCAGCCACACTGCAAACACACCAAACTGACATTTCAATAAAGAAATATAGAATCATTGAGGTTGGAAAAGACCTCTGAGATCATCAAATAAATACTGCCCTATAAAGAGAATGAATATTATTTGATCTGAACAAATGAACAGGTTGTTTTACTGCATATTTCTCTGCTTTCTTCCTCGCAACCCCCTTTGCCCAAGATTTTCAGATGCCAAACATGAAAATTTAAGCAGGAGCAAAGCAAGGCCACTCAAACAGGACCAACCACAGGGCTGAAGTCCCCCAGCCACGCTTGGCTGATCCCCCCTCCCTTCAAGGCATCACAAATGTCCACCGACCTTTGGAATTGAACAAGCAACCAGCTCAAACAGGACTTGATCAGGAAGTTCTGCCAAGCTCACATGTGGCCTTCAGCTCTGGAGATAACAACCCACCCTGGCTATCAGAGAGTGCCCAAGTGCCTGCTGGCTGCCAGTCCCCCCTCTCCGAGGCAATGACGCCGCCGTCACCGAGGGCTGGCACCATCCAGAGCTGCCATGCACAGCAGCAAGGACTGTCCACAGCCAGCTCTCCTTCCTCTCCCTCCTTTTTGCTGATTCATGGGCAGAAAAGCAGGAGAAATCTCGTTTGCATCATTCTTCACCTTCTCAAACCACGAGGACCAACAGGTAACCTCCAGCTCCTGAAGCTCTTGACTTCCTCCCCACAAACCCAACCAAGACTCACAGCAAGGTAACCAGAGCCCTTCAGCCAAAATTCAGGGCAAACGTGCACTGTCTTATTCCAGGATGGAAAACAAACAAGCAGAAGGCAGAGATCAGATTTCCCCAATCAATTCGGGCTTGTTCTGCCCCTGCTGGAACAGGAGCCGGCGGATTTCCATCCGTGCCTGGATGTGTGCCTGCATCCCCGGCTGGGATGAAACTGAACCTCTGGGAAGTGAACCTTCCCCTGCAGTTCTATTTCTGAACTGAATGTTCTCGAGTGAACCACAACAAATGCCTCCTTCCCTCTTACAACAGCAGCACAGGAGCTGTCAGCAAGAGAAGAAAGTCAGCGAGCACAGCGTCAGCACAACGCTCCTCGCTCTGCTGCAATAATAAATCCTGCATTTCCAATTTGGGCAGCACAGGAGGCAGGAGATAACCAACCCTACCTGCAGAACTTGGTGCCAAATTCAGAAAAGCCTTTAAGATAAACCAAGCACCACACAGCAGAGCCTTGTTATCTCAACAAGCCTCATTAATCAAATATAACATGTCTGCTCTGCACCACATGGCCAGGACTCATCTGTCTGGTGAATATTTGATATCCAGTCACAGGAAAACCCTTGAAGAGTGAGCCAGCACTGGGTTAGAGGCCTTGAAACCAGAAGAAAGGCACTGATGCAAAGAGCCTCTTCTCAGAAATCAACCTACAAATACCAAAAGTATCAGAATTTTCTATTTAAAAACATTTATTGCTTTCACAAACATAGGAAGTTTCAGACATTTGACCTCTGCTCCTTCCCAAGTAACCTCACTGAAGTGACTAAAAAAGGAGAGTTTGGTGCTCCTGCTGCAGGCCCAGTACCTGCAGAGGTGAAGGAAAGGCTCCTGGAGATGTCCCTGTCCCAGAACACCCTGGCCTGAGCACGGGGACAATTTGCTCCCAGCTCTGTACCCAGGAACTCCAGAGGGATGAATCCACACAGACAGGAGCAAACAGCAAACTGAGAAGGAAATTCAGCCTTGTGAAAGGGATTTGCTTGTCCCTGCCCCAGCCTCTGCTCCCTCCTGGGCAGGCTGGTGAGGTGTGGGGGGCAGCAGGAGCTGCTCTGACCCTCACCTGTCAGGACCCAGCACATCCCTGTGGCTGTCCAGGATGGCCAGGACCCTGCCAGGGGGCTCAGAGACCCTGGCACGGAGCCCAGAACACCTGTGGGTTTGGTTATGACCTGTGGAGCAAATTACCAACCTTGAATGAAGATCTGCAAGCCATGACAAATTAAATAGAATGATAGTGAAGTTATCACAGGGTGGAAAAGTAGATTTTGGGGTTTTTAGAATGGGGGTTCAGGGGGGCAAGATGGAGGGATCTGGGCATGTCCAGCCTTTCTCCTTCTTCTTCTTGGCCTCCATCTTCTGCTGTGATGGTGGCACTTTTGGATTGGTTTAGAGTAGAAGCTCAGTGTCTAACACAGGTGATGGGTATTGGGAAGTAATTGTAAACAGTGTACAGGTAGTTTTTAGAATAAAGACATAACACTGCCCCAAGGGTGGGCAGAGTGCCTGGAACTGTCCTGCTGGACAGACCTGGGCAGGGCAGGAGAAAGAATTTTATAGATAAGACACAATAAACAACCTTGAGACCGAGAAATGAAGAGCCCTGACTCCTTCTTCAAGTGCCAGGCTGGGAAAAGAGACTTTTAACATTCTTGGGGTCACTGTGAGCAGTGAGAGACCCCGACACCCACCCACAGCAGGCTGGCAGCTGGCACAGCTGGCACCTGGAGCCCTCTGAGCCCACCCAGCCACCTCCACCCTCACTGCTCTGCTGCTTTCAGTTCAGGCCCTGAGGAACACCAGGGCATCATCCCAGGCAGCAGCAATGGCTTTACCGGGAGGTTGTGGCACACACAGCCTGCACCAGGGACAGCTCCAGGTCCCCTGGGCCTCCCTGCTACCCCAGCAATCCAAACCACAATGACAACACCTCCTTGGAAGGCAGTGGCCAGAGGGTGACATGGTTCTGGACACCACACAGTGACCAGCAGAAATTCCAAGGGAAAAACACTCAGCAGGATTTCTGCCAAAATGAATTCTGTTGCTTTTACAGCTCTGAAGTTCTACCGGTGCTGGGGGGTAAAATGGATTTGAAAAATACCCCCCAGAATGGATCCCAGAGCAGCCCCCAGCAGAGAGGGACTCTGAACAGAATATTAAACAGAATATTAAACAGAATATTAAAAGTATCCCCCCAAACCCTGTGTTGATCAGGAGAAGGAACCAGCCCAACCTTCCACTGAGCTGTGGGGACAGAAGAGCCCTGGAGGGACACGAGCACATCATGAAAAATCTGCTCTGCTGGGTCTGGCTTTGCCTGGGGTCAGGGCAGCCCAGCAGGGCAGGCAGCTTGTGAACACACTCCCCAGTTTATCTTGATGATGTTTGCGGTGTCACAAACATCAAGGGCTGCAAAAATACCATTTCCTTTCTGCAGTCTGACTTTCCTGGCACCTCAAAAAACCAATGTAATGGGCTGAGGGCATTAACTGTGCTTTGTTCCTGTACTTCTTGGCAGCCTGCTGCCAGCAGCAGAGACAAGATTCCCTGTGACACCAAGGTCACAGACATCATCAGTCTCGTGCTTTCTCTCCACTTTCTTATTTTCCTTTCTCTTCTCTGTCCTTCTCCACCAAATGAGGAATTATCTTACGTATCGGCAAACTCTAAAGAGTCAGGGGGAAAAAGGGAGGGCTTTCCCCTGAAGAGGGAGGAAGGCTGACAAACACTGACTCAAACACTGCCTCTTCCTTCACTTCTGGGACTCCCAATGACAAGTTCAATTAAATTATTAAACCTTCTCACCAGGACTCTGCCTCCACATCTACAACAGTACAGAAATGCACAGCCCAGCCAGGAAACAGGACAGGGGATCTCCTCCAGAGCAGATCTAACATTATTAATCCCAGACCCACACTCTTTACCCACTCTGCCACATCCTGTGCAGCCACAGTTAACTGGCACCATCACCCAGCCTGTCTGTGCAGCCACACTGCAAACACACCAAACTGACATTTAAATAAAGAAATATAGAAGCACAGAATCATTGAGGTTGGAAAAGACCTCTGAGATCATCAAGTCAACCTCTGACTAATCACCACCTTGTCAACCAGACCAGAGCAGCGAGTGCCACATCCAGGAACTCCATGAACCACCACCTTCCTGGGCAGCCCCTTCCAAAATACCTAAAATCTTCCCAGACTCTTTTCTGCCTTGGGACAGCTTCTTCTTCTTCTTACAGTTACTGATATCTCTAACAAAACACTGACCTTGGAAAGGCCACCAGCCCTCAGCAGGAACAATTCCTTCCTCAACAAGGCATTGTTTATTGAGGGGGGATTGGAAAAAAATGTAAAGGAAGAAAGAAAAGTATCTGAAGTATCCAGTATTATCTTCTACAGCAGTTTCTTGTATTTAACCACCTCTCGGGCAACAAATGCCACAGGCAGCCAAACCCCTGCACTTGTGAGCAAGTCAAGGCAGGGGGAAGAGAGAAGCCCTGAGTCACTCCCAGCGCAGAGCTGGCTGTGGGTGGGAGAGCTCAGCCCTGCTCTGCTCCCCCTGGGGACCGGGATGTGCCAGGGGGAGAACAGAGATCTGATCCCTGGGAAGGACAGGGATGTGCCAGGGACAGCAGGACAGGGATGTGCCGGTAGGAGCAGAGCTCAGCATCCCTCGGGAAGGACAGGGATGTGAGTGGGAGAGCAGGGCTCTGTGCCGGTGGGAGCCCGGGGCTCTGTGCCGCTGGGAGCCCGGGGCTCTGTGCCGCTGGGATAGCTCGGCTCTGTGCCGCTGGGAGAGCAGGGCTGGCTCGGGGATGTCGCTGCTCTCCTCCCAGCGCATCCTTCCAGCCCGTCTGCTGCAAT